GGTCACATCCCTTATTCAGTACAACTATCTTTTTTGGGAAATAAGTTATGTATTTATTTCAAATAACCCATTATTTCTCAAACCAAATGTAATATAGTTCCGAAAGGTTCAATAAAAAAATCAAAATTCAGAAATTTTCCTCTAGAGAAAAACATTAAGCCTCTTTTTCTACTAGTAATAAGAGCATTAATATACCTTACAGTAGTAAAATTCTTACATTTGAGATATTTCTAGGATAATAACTACTGTTAGAAATAATTATTTTATAGAGTAACAGATTTAGGTGGAGCTATACAGATGGCGCTAGTTTCTCACATAAGAATTTACATTGAATAATTAAATACTAAACATTAAGTAAAACATGCTAAGATTCTAATTATATTATCAAAAATCGATTGTTAATTATTTGGACATTTAAATTACTGTACACAAAAATATTATTATCATTAATTTGTACTTTTATAACTAATACACAGATGGCGCTAGTTCACTATGATAACATCACAACCTCGGTACATAGATAACGTTAAGCTTAGAATTATAAAGTGCATCACAATTTGTATTATTATAAATAATTATTAAACATAGGTACGACAAATTTTTAACACAAATATAAACCCTAGCTTGAAGACGCAGATGCAGTCTAAATATGCGATTTCGTAATTTAACTAAGGAAGATTTTCACTCCGCATATATATATAATTGTTCCTAACTGAAAATTTTGTCAATCGAATATAACAAAATCTACAAAATATTTTCCTAAACATATGTTTTATAGAGGAAGGAAGGTTTCCATAATGACAAATACTGTGGGCTTTGAGAGGTTTTTGAATAATAAGTACTTTTAATTTAGATATAAATTAGATCCAAATATATTACATTAAAACAAAAATATATCACACTTACATTTTTTAAACATAAATTAACCTAAAGAGATCAAAGCAATATTTAAATTACATTAGCAAATAGACTCAAGTACTTACTTCATACTTTATTAACCAAAACTATACTTTGTAATATAATTGTATGACAAATCTATCTTATGCAACTTATACAAATGATTTTTACAAACACGTTTATTAGCATGAATCATTAATGAAATCCCTTATGCGTTTTTAGTTTCATGACGAGCTAATTTAGCGTTTGTTTGAGACATACTATTATTGTTAGCACTATTCTAAGGAAAATAGTTCCAAGGTTGACTGGATTGATAAATAGATTTATTTTATTAATTTATGTTATATATATATTATAATTTAATAATTTAAGTAGCTATACAATTACAATCTAATAAAATTGTAGGAACAGAATTATAAGTAGGTATCGTGTATATAAGGAATATGTTTGTACAAAATTTTTCTCAAGTAAGTGAAATGTAATTTCTTTTTGAGAAAATAAAGTATCTTTAATGTTACATATGTAGGTATGTATAAATAATTAGTTCGGGCGTGGCTGCGACCACCCATATATATAGTGTAATAATCGTTCAATAAAGTAGTGCGTGATTAGCCAGCGATCCTTTCATTGTCCGACCCTATCCGCGTATCTAACATTTAACCATAAAAATCTGTATGATTTTTGTTATATTAATTATATTTCTAATATTTCACATATTTCTTCTAAGATAAATGTTTCCCATTCAATAACTTAATACTATGATTTGAGAAGATTCTTAAATAAACTTGTTTACTCTCCATATGTAGTAATGCAAATCTCCTTGCAAAACTTGTGCTAAGCATACTGATCAATTCGATTTCGTTGGTCTTACTATTTTCAAAGTAATTAAATTTAACACTTAGTCTACTAGCTTCATTTACTATGACATCTTTTAACCCAGTCGCCTTCAATCTGTATATAATCTATAAATTATATGGAAAATAATGCATAATAAACAATAATGAATGGGCCTTAAACCCCTCACGTACTTTAAAGATATCGGGTACTTTAGATTAGATTAATATTTTAATCCGCTACAAAGCTTTGAATATATCCGTATAATCATATAAAAGAAAAGGAAAACCCTTTATCACCTCATCGATTTTATTGTAATCCTTAGAAGCTATATATAAATCGAAAAACCCTAAAAAAAACTCTTACCTTTCATTTAATATTAGAGCCTTTTTTCCTTAAACCGAAATGTCGGGAGTATGTTGATAGTAATAATTATAATCGCGTAGTAAATCTGAGAAATATTAGTTTTATTTCAATGAATACTCTCGAAAATCTTGGATATCGTTATAATATACTACTAAGTATATTAATTTTTAAAAGTAGTTAGGTACAGAAGGTACTCCGAAGATGACAACCAACCAATTAAAAAAATCTCAATACGATGATAATATTATAATAATAATAATTTATGAAACACCCATGAAATAATGTACATAATTTGTTTTTAGCTTAATAACTAAATCTAGGGTTATTACATTGTCATCTTTTGTAGTATACCTCTGACTCTAAAACTAATATAAATTGTGATATTAGAGTCAGCGTATCAAATGTTTACTTAGCGTTACAATAAACATCAATTTGAGTAAAATTGGTTTTTATATACGAAATTTAATATCTGAAATTTTGGTAGAACCGCAATAATTATCAACCAATACAAAGTCTTATAAATGCATCTACAATATTGACGTATTATTAAGTAAATAAAGGTTCTGAGAAAAATAATGATATATAGAGGAAAAATGAAAAGTTGCGCATATAACAAAAATTTATAACTTCTTAGATATTAAGTGATCGCTGGGAAAGACAAATATAATTTTTTCCTCATTTATTGTCTTCAGATTTTTTTTTATTAACACGTGTGTTTATTTTGTAGTAATAGTACTTATAAATTAAAATCGTGTTCATTCAACAAGTCATAAAGAAGTCTTGAAATTGAATATTTATTTTCTATGAAATAGTAATAAATAAATAAGCTAATTAATAGACGGACGTATAACTTCGTAATGTGGCTTTGTCTTTTCCATACGTTGATGTTTAATAATTTACACTTGACTGTAAGATATTTAAATAGCAGATGTAGGTACGTTTATCACTTGATTGTTATTTGAATAGTAGGTAGATGGAAGTAGATTTTCTCTTTATTATAATTGGTAGCTATTCCATGACCTTAAAAGATTGTGAAATCCACAAATTAATTTTAAGTATTCTTTCGTTTTGTTCTAACTTTAACGGAAAATACTTCCTTTAAAAATGTCTCAGTTTAAAATTAAAATATCATATGTAAATTTGTACTGGTTTCATTGTATGACTTTGTAAGACTTTCTAAGCTTTCTTTTAGTTTTTGACAGACTAACCCGTTTTGGTTCCGTTTCAGTTCCAGACCTAATTGTGTTCCAAGATTTACCTAAAAAAAATATATAAGATGCAAGTTACATTTTAATGTTCAGTAAACTACTTACAGTTTATTTGTTAGGGAATTTTTGTCGTTGGAATTCCTTTCTCTAGGTAACCATAACAATTCCTGTAGTTGGTTTCCGATATTTTGATCTATTCTTCAAGATAAATCATCTATCTTTAGAAACAGTTTTGGATCAGCGTGTTATTTTAATGAGTCTATCAATCAAGCGATGGTCTTTAACTGCAATGGTCATTACTCTTTGAAATGTGAACAGATTTCATTCATGTTTAAAGTCTAAGTCTTTCTATAATAATCTAGAGTTAGTATCCTTTGCCCATGGACATTTGCAACATAAGCGATGTTTGATATGCGTTGTCAGTCTTGATAGTGGGGGAGACAGGGAAGGGTATGATAATGGGAAAATAGTGAAAAAAGGTAACTTGCTCTTTCACTTATCGGACGAAAAGATGCAATTAAATGCTACTTAACGCCGATCTTCTGTGAGAGGGCAGTACTTGCCCACACCTAGGTTCTGCCACCTAAAATAAACTTAATGACTTGTGCCTACTTCTTCGCCATTCTAAGATATAGATAGAATAGATACATACAATGTTTTTAATTGATTATATCAACTATTTCATTTACACATTCTGAAATTTATGTGTCTGTTTTTACTCTCTACATTTTTTTACTTTTATCCAAATATTTTAAAATGCACTTGAAAGCATTTACATCTGTTGATTGTTTTTTATTTAAAAAGGTTTTCTTTATTTTTCTTTTTCTGTCTGACAACACTTGTCCTTAAAAAAGTCAATAAAGTCACATAACTAAAACTGATATATTGTATGAAGTGACTTGATATTATATAAAATATTATTATTTAAAACATCCAACCAACCAAATATTATTCATAGTATTTTTTGTCAACTTATGCATGGAAATTTTTGTTATTACATAATTGTTTTTCCCTTTGTTTAAAATAACGCAACATGTGCTCAAGACAGACGCCATCATAATTCGTAGTGTCAGATGTGTGCGTGAATTTCTTAAACAAATTTTCACAGGATCATGAGAAATTTTTGTATTCGTTGTACTTTTATTGTAAAAGTGATATGTGTATTATTTGAAAATTATTTTAGAGATATTTTTATTTAGTTCTATATATAAGTACTAATAATACAAATATAATGTAAAGGAAATTTTTCATATAATTTTATTGATGTCTACATCAGATAAAATAGCTATTGTTATAGTTGCGTAACTGATAAGAAGTAAGTTTAGTCTTAAGAGTTCAGTTTTACGACAACAGTTGCTGGCATTGCACGTCTTGTCTACGTCTTATGTGAGTTCCTACATTTTAATATACAAATAATTTCATTTAAATTTGTATACAAAATTTTCTCTCATTTTAGTTAAGTATTTTATTTAATAAAAAGTGTTTATAATATATACCAAGTCCATTATTTTTTATTTTATCTATATTAAAAAATATCTAGTTGGTTTAGATATTTAATTATTGGAATATAATTTAAGCCAAAAACGAAGCCGAGAATACGCAATGTCATTGATGACATATTTTTAAAAATAGAACGCCGTTCATGTTCATGGTGACATTGTGACGAAATGTTATAAAAATATATAAATTAACAAAATGGTCGCAACAAGTTAGTTATATTATGAAACTAATAGTTTTCAGATGTACTACGCGATTTTTATCAAAAACTACATAATGTACTAAAAATAATACTAAAACTAAAAGTCGAGTAGTACATCCGAAAATTATTACATAGTTTCATTTAAATGAATACTCGCAAAAATCTTAGATCTCATTAAATTAGTTATATTATGAATTTCAAGTTAAATTAACTCTCATTGTTATTTAGTTCTGTAAACATTTTAGTATAATTTACATCATCCTCCTTATCTTTATTGTATTGTATATTTATAAAAATATTTTTAATAATAGCGACAATAATTAAATCATTATCTTATTATGAATTAAAGATTAGAACGTAATCCGTTTTCTATTGAAATGATTTAATGTAATTTCTTTCATATTTTATTGATTATATCCCAAATAACAGTTCTTACGATTCACAGATAAAAAATAGGAAATACATTTAAAAACTACTAGCAATTAAATTTAATACGAAATTTCTTTAATGACAAATCTGCTTGAAAATTATATAAATTAACAACTATTAGGAAATATTACCGTTTAGTTTGAGCTTAAATTATACGTTTTCAGTAAGATAATACGTATTTTCTATATAAATATGTTATCACTAACCTTATCAAGTGTTGTATGAAAACAAAATATAATATATATATATATATATATATATATATATATATATATATATATATATATATATATATATATATATATATATATATATATATATATCTTTATTTACATATTATTATCTGTTCTGTTTTAATAAGTGTATATTTTATTTCAGTATCAATAAAAGAAGCAATGAAGATAGGTTTCATCGGAGGCGGTAAACTTGCTTACGCTTTGGCAAATGGCTTCGTTTCTGCAGGTATAGAAAACATTTTTATTATATTTTATGATAACTAATGTCAATGCACTTGTATAATCTTAAAAAATATTGCTAAGGTTATCTATCTATATTTAATTTATGATGTATATTTATTTATATTTACTGTTTAATGACGTCGTTAAGAAAATGTGCTACTAAAATTAGTACAGTTGTTTAAAATGATGGACATATTTAACATTATGTAAATTACAAGAATCATACTAAATAAAATTGTTTAGAAACAAAGAAACGCTGCTAAACTTACTATTGTAATTCTATAATTCTATAATATCCGATCAGTTGTAACATAATATTATGAAAATATTTTAAGTAAATAGTCCCATTCAGTGCGATTCTCAAGTACGTGATTTAAAGACGATAATGAAGTATGTAGTTGTTGTTGTAAAGTCAGTGGTGGCCTAGTGGTTAAAGGGCCCGCCTCTCGTGCACGAGGGCGCGGGTTCGATCCTGCCCCGGGCAAGTACCAATGTGATTTTTCCGAGTCATATGTACTTTCTAAGAGTATTTAGACATCACTGATTAATGTTGATTCCCAAAAGAGGGTTGATGTCAGGCAGGCGGGCCGGTCGTAAAAACAAATAGCCAAAACGATTCACAAACATGTAAGGCAGACCTTGGCTATAGCTGGGAAATTGCCAGGTAGAAGAAGAAGAATAAAGTAGTTGTATCAATACGGATTACTTTGACAATGAACACGTTTAACTTATTTTACAGAATTATTAAACAATAATTAAAGCAAAGATACACAAAGAATTATCTCTAGAATAAAGACTGAATATTGACATAGGTAATTCTATCTATTTATTTATACCTATACGTATAAGCTATCTAATTATAATCTATCTGAACTCATAGAAGAATAAAACTATCTTCTTTGAAGTATTTTATTGCACTTCAATGAAATCATCCCGACAATAACCAATGATCACTTCATTTAAACAAGTTATAAGTAATACTTTAAAAATCTTAGGAACCATTACCTACTAGTAATTACATGATTAGTTACTTTAGTGATAAGTTGTAGGTAATTGCTTCTATACTTAAAAAATTACCATGCTCCTATGCTTTCTAAGTAGGTAGTGTTTTAATAATTTGGCAACTGTATACTAACCAGAAATCTGCATCGTGTTATTATGTACGTTGATATGTTAATTTGCGAAGATTTTTTCATTATTATTGGATAGTGCTTGTCAATTATAACACCTAATAGCAAGGAAATTATAGCTTTAGACGTGAAATTACCTATCTCGCCATGAAGAAAGTGTAACTATGTGACATTGTTACACTTGAAATGATGAAAATTTTTGGACCTTATCTGAAATAATGAAAATAAATAGTATAATAAAAATCCTAGTTAATTTTTTGATCTATCAAATCTATATGTTAAGGCAATAAAATTTTCTCTTTATACTTTATAGGTATGTTATATATACCAGTAAATATTTGTATTTGCTTTTATATTACGTTATAACTCGTTAGCTTAGTCGATTATATTAAACTGATAACGACAGCTGTATATTTAGCCATATATTTCGTTCATACGTTTAAGTTTGCCGTATAGCTCTTTTAGTTTAAACTTTAAAGTTGTTGAGGATCGAAAGTTAACTGACATCTTTTCCTCTTGAGCCATGGTCATTTCAACTAAAATTCTTTTGTTTTTTTAGGAAGTTATAGAGGGAGAAATACACATTTGAATAATATTTTCATACCAATTTGTTTTTACGTTTCCAAACACTTTCAAAGTAGTTCTTGCGATGTTTTTCCGAACAAAAGTGTATTTATGAAACTGCAAAGTAGCCGAAACGTCGGGAGTATGTAATTTTTAAAAATAATAAAATTAGCGTAGTATTCCGAAAATATTAATATCATTTAATTGAATACTCGCGAAAGTCTTGGATCTCATTAACATATCTATACTATCTTTTAAGTGATTTGACAACTTCGAGTTCATTTAATTTTCCATAGGATGCAAAACAGAATGCCAGTGCTTATCCCATATATTTGAGTAATTCAGGTCCAGAGAAATTTCAGTAATTTTTCAAGTCAGTCGACAAATTAAGCAAAGAACTCATGTACATGTATAAGAGCCTAAAAAGTTTTTCCTATTTCTGTTCGGTCGCATTTTTATACCTACCATCACTATGTATTCGCACTCGTAACTATTTCTGGAACGCAAGAAATCCCTCTGTATGCAAGATAACCTTATCATTTTGATTAGACAAATAATTATATGCTAAGTTGACTCATATAATCTTATCGCGACTAAGCCCATGGATTTGCTGCAATCGTTAGAATATTTTGTTTAGTTATAGGACCAGCGAAGTTCAAGGTTTTCATAGCATCACCATAATTTGTTACTGAGATAGAGCATTCAATACCTACTAATTACCTACATTTAAACTTTTCCTTCGGTACAATATCAATCAAGCACTATTCAGTGGAAGTTTATATGTATATTTATTTACAAAGCTTTTTGTTTTCTAAGTATGTACACTAATTATTAACTTAATTTGTTTTCTTCTTTCAGGATTGGCCAAACCCGACGAGATTACTGCTAGTTGTCACCCAGCAGATAAGGCTAGCGCCGAAGCATTCAAAGTAAAAAATAATTTTGTACCGTTTACTATTTAGTTTAGATTCTAAGTCTGTTTATAATATAGTTCTCTTGATTAATATAATACTCTTTCCTTTTAATATGGAGAGATAATAAAAATAGAGTCTTGAATATACATCTAATAATTTATTTCACTAATAAACTCTAACTTCCAGAGCCTAGGAGCTACAGCGCTATTTGAAAACAAATCGGTCGTGGAACGCTCAGAAGTAGTCATAGTTTCTGTTAAGCCAGATGTAGTGGTGCCAGCTCTCAAAGATGTCAAAGATCTGGCTGCATCCAAAAATAAATTATTCATATCAGTGGCCATGGGCGTTTCGACAAGCACCATTGAGAAGGTAAAATTTTGTAATTATTTTTAGCGTAATAATTGTGTAAAGTTATTGCATGCTGAATTGTATCTCGTGATGAAAATTATATGAGAAGGTAATAGAAGTAGCTTATTTTGCATTTTTTTGCAAATCTCTATATTATATATAAGAAAGTTCTCTTAGTTACACTATTTATTACTGAAGAACGGCCGTAGGGATATTATCGAAAATTGTGGAGATATAGCTTAGAACCAGGAGACGGACATAGGATATTTAGTCCTGTTCGATCGAAAAAGAAAAAAAATATAATGAGATCTAAGATTTTCGCGAGTACACATTTAAATGAAACTAATATTTTCGGATTTTACTTCGCGTTTTATTTTAGAAACTACATACTCCCGACGTTTCGGCTACTTTTCAGCAACCGTGATCACGGGCAGACGAGATGTCCGTCGGGAGTATGTAGTTTCTAAAATAAAACGCGAAGTAAAATCCGAAAATATTAGTTTCATTTAGAAAAAAAATACTTAATAAATTTCACCATCTGTTTATTTATGGTCTCTAGGGCAGAATAAAATTCACCCGGTCAGCTATACATACATATAACCAATTTCGAAATTAACGCGGACCAAGTCGCGGGCAAAAACTTATGCCTAGTATAAATACTATGTCATTTAATTTTATTATTCAGTACTGTAATATACGCTCAATTAAACGGACTCTTGCTATTATAGTTATGTTATTTCACGGCTTCTAAATAACGTGCTATACATATATAATTTTTTTACAGGCATTACCATCAGAAGCACGCGTGATTCGCGTGATGCCAAACACTCCGGCTCTAGTCAAGGAAGGTGCTGCAGCTTTAAGTAGAGGATCAAAAGCTACAGCTGAAGACGCCAAGTTGGCAGCCGAGCTGTTCCGAGCTGTTGGCACGTGTGACGAGGTGCCAGAGTATCAGATGGATGCCGTCACAGCTTTGAGTGGCAGTGGTCCAGCTTATGTAAGTATTTCCTAAAATTCGAGAGACGTAGTCCTAGGAAAGTTGATTTTTGTATTGGAAGTCCAAGAAGATAAATAAATTTAGGCAGAGATATGAAATAGCTTAGAAAAGATAAAGTAGTTGTAAAATAATAAAAAATGCATAGTAATATCCAAAAATTTTAGTTTTGTTGAAATGAGCACACTCCAAAATCTAATATATCATTAGTAGTAAAAAATCTAATATATCATATAAGAGTAGTGTTTCATCTATTTAAATCCTTAAAAAAATAAAGAGAAAAATCACTACCTAACATTAAACAAGAAAGATGCTTAGGTAACTCTAAACAAAAAAACTAAAACGTTATTCTATATCGCGGGAAATTTGTGGACTATCATAATTTTTCGACCAAGGCCATCATTTTTAGACAAAAACCATCATTTAAGTTAAAATACTACTATACACTATATTGTTATTAATTGGTCATATATGTACATTTCCAAAGTAAAGTAAATTATTTCTTCATATCGATCATTCCCAGGTGTACATGCTGATAGAGTCTTTAGCTGATGGTGGGGTCCGATGTGGGTTGCCTAGAGACCTGGCCCTTCGGCTCGCCACTCAGACCACGAGAGGAGCTGCCAGTATGCTCAGTACTGGAAGTCATCCAGCTGTATTGAAGGATAACGTGACTTCTCCAGCTGGTTCTACAGCTGAAGGGACCTATCACCTGGAACAGAATGGTATACATCTTTATATATATAAAAATTTCAAGTCACGTGTTTGTCCGCGATGGACTCCTAAACTACTAAACCGATTTTATATTTGACTAGCTTTTGCCGCGACTCCGTCCGGGTGGAATAGTGACTTACGGCAGATTTTTGGTTCTTCCCACATAGTTCCCGTTCTTGTGGGGTTTTCGGAATGGTCGAGTTCCCGTAGAATTTTCAGGATAAAACCTATGTTTTTTTTATTCACAATGAAGTACTCTTAACCAACAACATATTTATTTGTTTATTTGAATAAAGATTAATATTATTATGTTGATCCAACTTAAACAAATTATTTCGACCAAATTAGGTACCATAAAAACGGTTTTTGTGAGTTAATCTTAAAAGATAGACATATACTGTTGCGGAGTGTTTTTTAGATCATTAAAAGAGCTATTATTCTTTAATACATATTTTTTGTGTATCTTGAACCGTTTTCACGGCGCACGCAACGGAAGGCTTCAAAGATGAAATAATTTCTCCCGTTTTTTACATATTTACCACTATATCTTTGCTCCTATTGGTCGTAGCGTGATGTTATATAGCCTAAAGCCTTCCTCGATAACTGGACTATCCGACACAAAAAGAAGATTAGCGCTTTCAAACAAACAAACAAACAAACTCTTCAGCTTTATAATATTAGTATAGATTTGCATTCCGTGTCCATTTTGATCCAACTTGAAAGATAGGAAAGCTTACATCTCAATTTATTGTCACAATATTATTTTATTGCATATTATTTGTCTATTAAATTAAATAATTTGTCATTATTACAATTATCTGTTGACTGAGTTAAGTATTCATGTTACAAATACAAACGTCATATATGAGCGACTATTTTAGACACGTGTTTCTGAGCTAAAGGTATAACCTAAATTTATTTATTAAAAAAAAGTATGTAACCGATATTTCTTGATAATAGGGCGATACGAAGTTCGTCGGGTCTTCTAGCAGTTATATAGTTATTATCCTTGATATACTGTGCTTATACTGCATAGTGTTCCTTGCTATATGTACTGTAAATTGATATACGGTCTTCTATAGATTATTTTGTGTACGATTTTCAAATATAAATAAAAGATAATATTCATAAGTATATGAAGTATATAAGATTAGTTATCATCAAATAAAAAGCCATTGGTGGTAATGCTTTTAGTGCCTATCTATAGAGAAATGATTTAGGACAAATAATTTCACTGTAATGAAATTGTAGTAGATTTTTTTTGTTAATGTTTTCACGGCTCTGGATGCGAGTCCTTTGAGCCTTTGGAATAGAAAAATAAATTTGTACTGCCATATACAAAAATTGTGATAGAAATTAGGTTAATAATTATTAACAATGGTTTAATTTTTTTACAGGGTTCAGATCAGCTGTTATTGGAGCAGTAATGGCTGCGACGAATAGATGTAAGGTCGTCAACGAACAATTAAATAAATGAATTAAATCATAATTATAAAAATATACAAAAATAACGTCACAAATCAAATATCAATAAAAAGAATAAGCAATGTTGTTTTTTTTAATGTTGCCACTCGAATTCTTTACACGGTTTTATATATAAAAAATAACCAGCCCAATGGTACTTCTATTTTTATTGACTTTTTTTTACTTTAAAAAACAATTTTTTCAAGAAAATATTTATTTATATTTCACAATTTTAATAATATCTTAACTTATATAGGAAAGTGTTTTAGTAAATAAAATAAATAATAATGACGAATAAAAATAAAGTCCACAGGTCAATATAAAAACACCGAATACTTTGTATTTGGTACTATTGACTAATATTGGATTCAGTTGTCGTACATTAATAATACCCCAAAGTTATTTTCTTCCTTGGCATCGACTTCAAATATGTATGTACAATAATTGTTTGATTACTTCTGGTTGACTTCAACCAATAATATATTGTCATAAGTAAAAAATATAAATATATTTTTAGTTTTTGATTGAAGCAGGTTTTTTTTTATTAAAAATTATTTCATTTTAACTTTTTTACTTATGGGTAGGTCTGAAAGTGTGTTTCTCGATTGAGGATTAGTAGAGTTGACGCAAAATGGAAAATATTCGAAGTCTACTAATTTAGAAACCTCCATTTTTTAAAAGTTGTTTAAAAAAGTTTTTTTTTTTTAATCGCCGCTCGTGTTTGAATAATGTACTTGCAAAGAAAAAATATATTTTATAAGTCTTTTGTACTCTTCTGTCAGAGCTGTTTATTAATTTTGAATACTTTATATTTACCCTTCTCTTGTGGATTAGCGACCTTCTATTGATTTCTATTACATATTCACTCCAAAGTCCAAGTAATAACTAATTAAAGTGGACTACACAATGAAATATTAACTTTAACATCCTATAATAAACGTTTATTAAATGAGATGTACTGAACAGCTCACAACATACAGATTGCATCTACATTTGACAATGCAAAAAGCTATTATAGCTCATATATATACATTTACAATCATTAACATGACATTAAATAATATTATGATTTATTAAAATAAACAACACCCAAAGAAATAATTTGAAGCACTCTGTTTCTATTTTTTTGTGTATGATACAAATCTGTTCCCTTATTACACGAAATAATTAATTATATTTAGAAGGTAAAAACGTACTAAAAGAAGCATAGCTGGTAATGTGATCACCTTAATAATATTTTGTTGGAGTTAATGAGAAATAAAATATGGCATTACAAAAATAAAATTTTTAAGACTCTTATAATTTTTTTTTATCTTATTTTTTGAAGCAGAGCATTAAACGTATAGTATTTGTTTCTGATAAATTATATAGCCAAATTGTACAAAACATTATTATATGGTTTACCATAGACTCTGGCATTTTTATTAATCACAAAGATATTATTTATGTTAGAGAGCAACACTAACGAAGTAATTGTCAAAACTTGACATTTAAAAAAAACGAACTAAATGTCTTGGATATTCCGTTCATCTCAACGGCTGTTGGTCAGCGGACTTCGTTGAATAAATAAAGTACGTCACGCTATAAATGGAGAACATTTAAAATTGCATTCAAGCTGAACGTTTAAGCCGCGACCTTGTTCATTTACTACTACTATTGTGATGTATTGTTATTCCGGCAGTTGTTTACAATTTTTGAGTTAAAGTGAACACATTACGACGCGAATCGTAGAGCGGTATGCTGTTGCCTAAAACAGAGAAATAAACGTTTAATCCTTGTCGAGTGGCATTTAGGTTTAGTGGTATTGCTTTAAGAGGTGATATGGCCTTCTGTTTGAGTGAACTCGACCCACGCCGACAAATAAAGACTCCTACGCGGCGCCAGTGATACTACGTCGCCGCTGAGCATAAAAAAATGTAATGAGAATAAAAGTAGACGAAGTATGGTATTAAGTTGTTGCCGGCTTACATTTTTCAAGTGAAACTATATTAAATCTTGTGATGATTATTGGTGCGGGAATTGTATATTTTTCGTCGTCCGTTTAATCGTCAGTCAAGGCTAAAGTTTATGGGATTCGATATTCGAATTAATTCGAGACGGATGGTAAGATATGATGAATTACAGTTTGTTTAATAACAAACTTAATCAATTAATGCATACGTAATAATAAAAGAAAAAATAATTGTTTTCGTTTACATGTACAGTGTAATTATAGCAGGTGATTTAATAGTTGTCTAACAGCTTCATACTTTCTAACAAGTTGCTATATAGGAATTGCACCTGTTTGGTCTGCTTAAGTTTGTTTATGTTGATAATTGATTTATAAAATTTTAATTGATTAGACTACCTACAACCTGGGCTATATCGGTGATTTTTATTTCAGTGCTAGCAAAATGTATTCAGGAAGACATTTCCCATGAATATTTTAACTAATAAGTGAACATAAATCATTCAAAATAAAGAAATCAACGGCCCTGTTGTGTTACAAGTCAAGAATGGATGAAAATGATGTTATCATATCATCTACAGAAATTATTAAAGGTGAGTTTAGAATTAATTAGTTGTCTTTCATACAAATTAAGGCTAAAAAGCTATTAATTGAAATCGGAAAACTTATAAGACTATCTATTTTCATACACTTAGTATTTGTATATTGCGACAAAAGATTACAATACATAATTATTAATTAGTACTACAAAACAGAACTATATATATTGCTTTGTTTAACAATATTATATAAAGATGAATTAATTACTCTGAAATCATCAATTGAGTTATTATATCTTATGAAACTTTATGCATTATATACAAAATGATTACATAGTACTTACTATATAAGACATGCACTTCTTAAAGAATGATCTCAACATCTTACGTACATCATTACACAATAATGGACATTAAAATACAAGGTCTTGGTCGCAAGTAATATACTATATTCATATACAATATTACTAATATACACACACACACACATATTATATATATATATATATACATATTTCTTTATGTGTGTGTTGACTATCTTCTAGATTGAATTCAAAATTGTATCTAGATTATGTTATTAATAAATAGATGACTTTATGTACACATAAACAAATGTTTCATTTGTATGAATGACGGTTATTGTGTCCGTTTAATTCTATATTGGGAATTTTAACATTCATTTTAGTCTTTGGCCCCAATTCTGAAGTCAGATATTTATTAGTAGGTATTTAGTTGCAAATAAAATCTTTGTTATCGGGTGAAAATCATGTACAGTTTTGTGTTTTGTATCTCATAGTATATAAAATATATTATGTTAATCACTTGCTAATATTAATTAAAATTTATGGATCGTAAATAGATATTTACATTAATTTAATTTTTCTAGTATTTGTCTTTGTTCTACTATTAATACCAATACAATAGAAGTATTTCTGAAATATCATTTTTTATTCAACAAACAAAGGAAAGAGTCATCTGTCTTTACATCAATACTTTTTCATTTTCATTATAATTACTATGTATGCTTTGTTAATGACTTAAGAAAGTGCTAATGATGGAATAAATTATTTTTCAGGTTTGAAAAGTTATTTTACATAGAAAATATAAGAATTAATATTGATGTTGAGACATGTTAGAAATTATTCAAAGAGATATTACATGATATTATTTACTAACTTTCATGCTTTTTAGTACGTATTAGCAATTAAAAATTATAATATTTTTTTTCAATTACTCTGGAATCATATAGGCCATTATTTTTTTGGTTGTTAATTATGATAATGGTACAAATCTTATGTAGAAAAGCACCATTTATTTGGTATTGGTTTAAATGGTGAAATTTTTACTTTAATATAAATTTCCAATAACTTATGATTTTTAAAATTATTTTGTGGTATTACATTTTTCATTCCAATTACATAAAAATATTTTTGTTTCAATATGTTACTCAATTATAAATTTTAATCTTATGTTGGGGGACTATGTCATTTGTGGCTACATATTTATTTGTTAATAAATATCTATCTCTTTAATTAAAACCATAAAATAAATATTTTTCCATATTTTTATATGTACTTGTTGGTGACACAGATAGATTTTTGGTTTCAATTAAACTTCCATAGTATTAATTGGACTTCAGAAAATATTGTTCAACAGTTTTGAAGCAATATCTCTGTATAACATTTTTTTTATTGTTATTCTTACAATTATTTTTTTGTAAATAAATAAAAAAATAATATCCTTTCTCAAAAACTATGGATAATACTTGGATTTCGTTTTCATAATTGAAAGTGTATCCAAATCAAATCTATCCAAAATACAAATATGTATATGAATAAATATACGTTGGTTGATTGTTATTCTGAAAAAAAATTGGTAATAAAATCTGAATACATAAATACTTAATATTAATTTTGACATAAATTTTCCTAATTTATTAAGTCCTTTGCTTATATGGGCTCATATATTGCTTTGTGATGTTGGTTATATAACGAAATTTAATTATTCCCCCCACTCCATTATTGTGTTTACGTAAACATTACTTACTTTTAAGCCGTAATCGGCTTATCTTAGATCCATTTAATCTTGCAATTTTTTTTTTCGTATATATGTCTGTGTTACTCTGCTTTAAATGATTATTAATTATTTTTTAAATGCTACTGAACAATGAAATAGTAAAGCTTATCTAGGAACTGTGTTCAAAAATATATTTGAATTTATTAAAATAATAAAATATTATTTGTAATTTTCGGCCCTAATATTACAATCGTCAAGTTATTCATACGATATTTGTTAAATAATTTATTTCTTTATTCCTATTAGAAATGAATAGGAACAAAATAACATACAGTTATTTGTTTAAGATTCAATTTACTTCATTTCTGTATCAGTAAATTCGTATTTTATGTAAATAAGGAATCTTCCTAATAAAGTTAATTCGATTCGAGTTATAGTTCGCTTTAAAAAACCGCTTGCGGTATAAATCTCTTTTCAATTTAAATTCAGGGTTGTAAAAAACCTTGGACGTCTGGTTCCGATAATAAAAACACTGCCACGTTAACTGAATTAATAGGCCAAGACGCGAGGGCTATCGAGTTAAACTTTGCCCTTAAATGTCCATGTACAAAAATAACTGAAGTACCCGCAGACAGAACACATGCAATAAAGGTGCGGTGCAAGTGTTGGCGTGACCTTGAGATTACATAACCCATGCAAAAGTTGCGGCCCAAGGACGGGCGGGAAATTCATTAACATACTAAGCGCCTAATGCACGGATAAATACGAGTTGTCTTTTTCAAAATTCTACCTTTGATTATATCTTCATATATCGTTTATGTTAATCAGATATTATGAAAAGAAATATTCGTGATATCCATCTATAAGATCATGATGCGTAGGGAATAAATTATATGGTATGATAGAGAAGACGGTTAAATAATGTATATGAATATTGATTTGAGTGTACGGAAATCGCTAAGCTCGTGATTTGTACCATACAACTAATCCGATGCAGGTATAACACCAATCTCGAGGGTGTACGAGCAATTACATCCACTTAATGTAAATCCGCTGTCAGAGGGTTGATTGTAGCTGTTTTTAATTAAAAATACAATTCAGCATTCGTTTTGAAAGTAGGTTAGAAAGAATCAAATGCGCCTTTGAATATAGGTACACACTGAATTTTGTTTCGTTCTTATCTTAACGTATTGAGGTTTTTTTAAAATTTATTTCCTTTGTTGTGATATTCATCAATAAAAAATAATTAAAATTATTCATATTCCTGAACTCAGTTTTCGTAATAGATTCGTTAAACTTAAAAATTTTATACAGTAATATTTATATTCAAAAACATAGGCGAATTGATTACCATCTTCTTTGAAGTCGGTTGAAAATTTTAATATATTTTAACCTTTTGTAACAAAAGTTGATAGATGAATGTATGTTTTATTAAAAATAAAATAAATCGAAAACTAAAATATGTTATCCTGTAAAATTATTATAAATTTTCAATAGTTGAACTATATAGCTACAGTTGCCTTTTTATTCTTAAAACCTAGATTCGTTAATTAGTTTTCTTAAAACCTAGATTAGTAGTAGATCATAGTAGATAGTAGATCATAGTAGATAGTAGATCATAGGAAATCTGTTAGAACATCTGACGAATGCAATTAGTATTATGTTACTAAAAAATTCAGTAATGTTTAATTTTATAAACTTTATATTGCTTTTGAAATGAGTTTCTTCAACTTTCTAAATTACAAACGTAAAAAGTTTTCCTCTTTAGGTAGAGAAGGTTTTGTATCGTCGACGAAAATTAAGAGTAGAGTCACATACCCTTTAAAAGTAATTTATTATTAAAAGTATAATATTTTTGACATAAAATGATATAGGGGAGAGTCGGATATATCGTACCACTTTTCACTTTAACTCAAATATTTCGACTATAACACGTCTTATAATAATTAATACATATGTAAAATAAAGTTTCATATTTTAGCTTCCTAAGAAGAAGAGAACAGATCCTTGCGATTATTCTAACATTGTTAAAAATGCTTTTTTGTAGAGGCTTGCCATCGGTACGATTTAGCCGACTCGTCGGTTTAATCGTACCACTAAGTCTTTAAATCGTACCACGGGTGTTTAAGTCGTACCACTGAATGAAAGACATTAAAATTCTCAATCAAATTATTTATTTTTGACTGTTAGGTAAGTAATAAAACAACATTATTTATATCTTTTAGGTAATAGAAACATAATTTTTAACTCTTAGGTTATATAAAGGAACTATAAGCTTTCTCAGTAAAATAACATGATTATGCTATGATAATGAGGTCAATCAACATAACTAATAAAAATGAGACATAAAAAAAACAGTAAACTATGTTAATAAAGTAACAGTTAACAAGAATGTTATTTGTAATATAATTATTGTGCATATTTCTTAATGGAAACAATCATGACAAATATTTTCAAAAATTCGAAGTACACGTCTCATGTAGCCACCGTTTACAGCGAACGCATTGAATCGAATCAACTTTTGGACCCTTCTTATCGTAGTAAGAACAATTGCACTTTCCACATATATTTTCAAGATAATCATCGCTGTCATCATCATCATCATCTAGTTCTACAACAAGTGTCTCTCCTGAATCATCGCTACTGGTGATGGAATGAGATCGTTTCCTCTTATAACTTTTGTTTTTGGCCTTGGGTAGTACTTACTATACGTACTTGCGGTAGTACTATAGGTACTTGCGGTTGGTAGTCGGGTAAATCGTACCAGTACAATTTAACCAACTGCAAGTGGTACGATTAAACCAACTAAGGCATTTCTAAAACAAAAGCAAATATCCGGCATAAACTCAAAACTTAGACATGCAACAAAAACCCCCAATAATCTAGTATACAATTGTGGAATAATAAAAAAAAATGAATAACTATAGCTAACCTTGATTACGAGTTATCTCCTTACGAATGTTCGACAATATTTATATTAATTCCTACAAAAAATGTTTTTTTTTTATTACGTGCACAGTTGTTAACTCACGTCGATGTAAACTAGTGGGTGAAGAGGGATGGTACAGGGCCACGATTTGGCGTTGTCAGTGTAAAAAAAAACATTCATTAAATGGGAAATTAAGAGGTGGTACGATTTAAATGCTAGTACGATATAACCAACTCTCCCCTATATAAGAAATTTTGAGCTGTTAATTTGTTGTTTTATCAAGTTTTAATGTAAAAAAGGCACAAAGTTTATTAGTGTTAATTGATTTAGGGCTTTTCACGACTTAGTTTTATTCACAATGCACTAATTATAATCTCAAAAACGCTGAGTTTAAAAATAAAATACATTACAAACCCATATAGTCCATAAGACTTAACTTGAAAACAATGTTTTAAAAAGTTTTACATTCTCATCACCCTTGCACGTAACTACGGTTGCTGTAATTAATAAGGTAACCGAAACGTGGGGAGTATGTAGTTCAAACTAATAAAATACCACATAGTATGTACTTAATCCGAAAATGTTAGTTTCATGTAAATTAAAACTCGCGAAACTCTTAGATATCATAAAGTTTTAAAAGGTAACTTTAATTTTATCTGAATTTCGTGACTGCTGGTGGGGTTGAAAGTAAGGGGAGTAATTGGATTTTAATGATAGTTATCTTAAGAGTAGGAAAATATTTTAAGTTTTCTATTTTAGTGAGGGGAGCGGTTTTGATAATTTTTAAAACGTAAGAAAATTACTGCATAAAAATACTCGATCGTATTAGTTATTTACAATGTGTGATATATTTCTAATAATTATTACGAGTACATATTATTGTAATTTCTGACGATTACTTCGAGGAGGTGGGCCGTAACAAGGGAATGAAAAATACAAAAAGAAAATATATGACGTAAGGGTGTCTGATATTCGAAGAGTGTGTCATATAAATCCTAAAAAGTATCCTATTAAAATGTCTCACGATTTGAACGTGACAAAAAATCATAATAGATCTTTGTGTTAAAAAAAGATCATCTTGACGAACTCCAACGCGTCAAATTTTTATTCAGAAGGGTCAAGTTGATGTCATAGTTATCCTCAATAATAATCTGACAATTACACGAAGGGATCTCGCTAGTCTGAGTATTTTGAAGGAAATTTAGGAATAATATATCCGCATTAAGTTTAGTAATACGATTATTTATTAATATAATACTAGATATAGTTCATTACAACTAGAAAAAAAATGTACTTTTATTTTCATCCTAGCTTGGTTTTATAATCGGTAGACGCACATCAAGATACATATAAGATGCAAGGAGTTTCCCTATATAATTTACTGATAGAGCCGAATATCTTCATATATTAATATCAATAAAAAGTGTTGATAGTATAACTTTAAGATATTAGCGAATTAATAATACATAAAAATCCCTTTCAAAACGTAATACTATGACGTGATTTCCAATAGATAATTTACATATATCATATACCATTATATTTGTATTCTTTCTTAATATTCATCTATGCAATAAGACATGGATATGTGCAATACCAAATCCCTTTCAGATTTAGTGACTAATGTGACAAGGATATTATGCCCCAATAATCAAATAACATTTGATAGTATCTCTTTCAAATGATATCTTTATGAAATGAGAATTGTATTTGAATTATTTTATATCGATAATATTATATATTATACTATGGTGTTATATGAAAGTTTTGGTAGTGAAATATTTCTTCAAATAATGTTTTAAATATGTATCGGTATATATATACTTTTATTAGAATTCACATATGGAATGATAATAAATGTTGTAATTTTTGCTTCCACTAATATTTCTCGTAAATTTTAATGTAATGCATTCATATTGATATATTTGGAATATAATACTTATTTATGTTGTCTTAAAAATTCTAAATAAAACTATAATACCCTTCATTAGAATTCCTAATTACTACTTATTTGATCGTAATTGATTTTGATATATTAATTTTGTTTTTCTGCATAATATAATGTTACTAAATCTAGGATAGGCATTTTAATCACGCCACGAATCAGCTTACCAAAATATGAACAGAACAAACATATAAGTCATAAAACATAATCCTTCGTAACGTTGTCGGTTGAAAAGGATTTAAATTTTAAGCTGCGACATTGACTATCATCTTAGGAGAGATTGAATATCATGTTATCAGCATCAATTTTATGGCTCGCTTGTCATTCTGATGGAACGGATAACTTGGTTTAAAAATACGTCGTGAAATTGGAATATTTTTATGGAATATCGATGTATCAAAGATACATATATTTCTATTCGTATATTTATTGCATGAAGATTGAAGCCACCCAATTAGTTTTAGTAAAAATTATTCTTATACTTTTAAGATTATTTGGCCTTCTCGAAGAGTGCTAACTTTGATTTAAATTATAATATTTATGTGTAAATCTAATGGTCCCTAATTAAATATATAAACCAAAAAATTATAAACAGGACTTACCTGACCCTTGTGGATATAACATATTGATAGTCTAAACCTAACTAATGTAAAAAGCTAATATCAATTACTTAATAATTTACTTTTAAACTGATAATTTCTACATTTAACTTTCCAATTCGTTGCACTTGATAAATTTTATTCAATCTCAATATGGAACAATCATTTTATATCCGAATTGTTTTTCTCAATTATTTATATGAAATTAGAAAGCGGTACTTTTTTTTCAACCTAAATCTGCGACCTGTTTTTTACAATCTCTCCCGTTTTTTGTTGAAGTTCAATTAGACAAAGTCTTTAAAAAAATATCCTCTAAATGAAGTCTCCTTACGAAATCAGTGCCTTAAGCGATTAGAGCTAATAAATTTAAAGAAAAATCCTTAATAAATTCCGTATATATTTAAATGAGTGAAATTTTGCTCCGATTTTATTGGGACAAAGAGACTATTTAAAATAAAACCATTGATTGGATTTGAATATATAAGACTTTCTAATTTGTTTATTTTTTTATTTATAAGCACACAAATTTTTATATTAACTTAGAAAATATAAATGGTATGATGAATTTCGTTTAACGTAGGTACTGTAATATGTTAAAAAAATGTTAGCATTTCGAAAACCACAATCATTAAATGTCTGTATCATTCTTTTGTTTTGAGTTCACACATAGACTTTAATGCTTATAAAAAATGTATTATCAAAGAAACCTTTGTTAGACTGTAACTAACGTTTTAATATATCAATTGTCATAATTCCAGACAGATTATATTTCGCTACCCTCGAAACTGGATATAAACCAAAGCCGACCCGCAACAGCAAATACTTCCACATAGAAGATGATATTGTATACGAGAATTTTTATTTCGATTTTGGACCCTATCACCTGTGCCATTTGTACGAGTTTTGCAAGAAACTCAACGAGGAACTGGAGAAAAATCCGAAAAAAAAGATAGTATTCTACACAAGCAACAATGATACTCTCAGACTGAATGCGGCATATCTCATTGGCAGTTATCAGGTTAGTTAAATGGTGATAAGACACACACACACACACATATATATGTAGCTATACCTCTTTATATGAAGAGGTATCGGTAAAACTTACATACATCAAATAGTTGATCTACCTATTTTTACATATATGTATGTATATTTAACACAGGGGTATACAGAGAAAATTATTCGGATATTAAATTATTTGTACCAAATACCAGGCTAAGTCTTTTTTATATAATTTTAGTTTATGATTTTATAAGCAACATATAGACAGACATTTAAATGTTACGGAAGTAACTCAAAAAGTTTCATTTTGAACACTAATATATACAATACCAAAATAGTTTTATTTGTTTGCTTGACCAATTCATATGCTAATCTATATCTCAGCTTCCTTAAATAAAGTCGCAAATGAATTATGTAAAAATATGTTAATAACAGCGTCGTGAACGTTTTAAACATAAACTTTGAATGTAGGTAAACGTTGTTAATCTAGGTCCTGTTGCACGCCCCCTCAATATATATTCTAATCTGAATTGTTTACTGATAGGTTTATTTAATTTATTTTCACGTGCAACCTTTTTCATCATCGCTATCCTTATATAAAAGATTTCATTAAACAGGTCCAATGATAGTTAATATCAATTAAAAATATAATTTTGTATTCAATAACTAATATGTCATGAAATTGAATAAATAATATTATAAACTAGTGTTTGGGCGCGACTTTGTTCGTCAATTTCGGAATATCTGACCGGACGAACTCTGTTTCTTCTTAAAGACAATAAATAAGCAGATTTTTGATTTTATTTACTATTTTTTTTCAATTAACTAACAGACTTTCTAGTATATATTTAGATAGATATTAAAGTTTTTAAATACTTTGTTTCCATGTCACCACAAAAAAAATGTCTGATATTTTAGACAATAGATAAAAATAACATTTCATTAAACTTAATTCACCTCCAAGAAGTAACTAGTGTCACAATTACTTTTTAAAATCAAAACTTTCTCCGCAACACTAAAAAAAAGCATAGAAATAAAAACTCATACTTTTTACGTCCACTTGAAAGCTTTTCTTTATCGTAAAGAAAGTAATTTTCACGAGGCCGGCCTTCACGTCAAAGTTATAATTACGCTTCAAGCAAAAAATATGTACTAACCCACAAGCAATACATGTTTTATGTTCTATACTGTCCAATAAGACGTGAGAATAATTAACAACAAACCGTTGCCTAGCAACCAGAAACAATTGTATATGTTATTATTATTTATTATTACCTGGCAATTTCCCAGCTTTAGCCAGGGTCTGCCTTACATGTTATGAATAGTTTTGGCTAATTGTTTTTACGACCGGCCGTCTGCCTGACATCAGCCCTCTTTGGGAATGCATTAATCAGTGATGTCTAAATACTCTTAGAAAGTACATATGACTCGGAATAATCACATTGGTACTTGCCGGGCCAGGATCGAACCCGCGTCCTCGAGCATGAGAGGCGGGCCTTTTAACCACTAGGCCATCATCTTTATTATTGTATACGAATAACAAAATGTATTGAATTAAACTTGTATATATGTCGTAGTATGATATCACTATCAGGCAAATCAACTACGTCCTATGGTCTAGTAACTGTTTCAAGGTTATTGTTTAATGAAGCGCGACTCTAACTGCGTAATGTCCAAGTCTACTAGACATTTTAATAATTGGACATATTTTTTTGCATTCAATACAAATGGTTTGATTGCAGAGTCAATTTCCAATACTTTGTTAGTTCTCAGTAATAAGGAAATTCATCAATTTTAGTTTGATTAGTGTTTGACTTCAGAATAAATTCAAATCAGTCGTGAAATATCTTCGAAACTTCTTTGAAATCGGAACTAGCTTTAAAATAATGTAAATAGCATTGATATATGCCAATATTATTGTATTAATTTATATATAAATAAGATATAAAAAACATGTTCACGAGTTAACCTAAACACAAAGTAATAGTTTTCTGTTTTTACGTATTATACTCCCAAAAATACCGAAACCTTTAGAATACATAAGCTTACCTCAAGTTGTAATAAATTGTTACACATTGTAAGTTGTAAAATAGAATCAAAAAATGTTAACTCGTTGTACGCTTATGTATACTAAATCCTATTTATTATTTACGATGGATAAATCCAACGGAGTTCCTATTTAAAATGTCAACATAAATTAAATCTGTCAATTTTGACATTGACATTGACAGTGACATTGTGACAATAAATTGAAGTCTACATCGTTATATTACAGATAATATATCTGGGCGGTTCACCGGCCGCTGTGTACAAACAGCTGACCGATAGCACGTGGCAATTGTTGAATTTCCGTGATGCTTCCGGAGGTCCACCACTGTTTGATATTTCTCTCCTGGACGTGTTGAACGGTGTTAAAGTCGCTCATGACGCGAAGTTCTTCGATTTCGATGACTTTGACGCTGATCAGTATTTATTTTATGAGGTACGTATGGTTTTAATATTTTTAATATTGTGTGCGTGCGTAAGTACCTATGTGTGTGTGAGTCTCAAACTCGACCAATTTAAATATTACTTTTTTCATTTGAAAAGCTATTTTAATGGGGAGGTTATTTGATATGTCGCTTACTATCAGTCTAGCTGTATAATAACTCTCTTCGTAATTTTATCATTGCTCTGTTAAGGGCTTTGCGCTTTCTTGTATAATAATCAAGTGACAATTAAATGTATGACACTAGATTTTTCCGCGACTCCGTTTGCGTGAATCTCGGAGTTGCGTTCAGAGACAATTTTTGCCCGCTACTTCGTCCGCGTTAATTTCGGCATTAGTAATGTATAAAAGAAAGCTCACAAATGGGGCAATACCCAACAACTACAAAACAACAGAAATTTTATAAAAAATAAGAATTATGTCAACATTAATTGTTTGGCAGTATTTAACAAATTAACTACAGAAAGAAACTGCTGAGTGTTGTCTATAGATATTGTCTATCATAACTCTTTTTTATAACGAAAGGAATGCTTATTGGCTGTCGATCGTGCCTACATAGACCAGTAAAAGGTACATAGCGATAAAATCGTTTGGGCTAGGAGTTGAGTTCTCGAGTAAGTAAATATGGTTTTTCGCTTATATGAGGAAAAGTCGAACATTTTCCGGGATATAAAGTAGCCTATGTGTTATTTCTAGACGTCAGCTTCCTGTATACAAAATTTTATCAAAATCGGTTCAGCCGTTTGAGCGTGAAGAAGTAACAGACATACACACACACTCACAAACTTTCGCAATTATAATATTATTAGGATAGTGTATCACATGACTGCATACTAATTCCGGGATAAATTACAACCTATTTGTTCTTCTGATAGGTGAACCACATTATTGTGAATTTTAAGAAAAATCAATTCAATAGTTTTTATTAATCCTAACAATCATACATCCATTTCAGAAAGTGGAAAACGGAGATCTCAATTGGATAGTCCCTGATAAGATGCTGGCTTTTTCTGGACCACATCACCGCTCCCGATTAGACCGCGGCTACCCATTACACAGTCCCGAACATTACCACGAATATTTTAAGAAGAACCACGTCACAACTATAGTTAGACTGAACAAGAAGTCATACGACGCTAGACAGTTCACAGCTCATGGATTCGAGCATAGAGAATTATTCTTCGTCGATGGTTCAGTACCATCGGAGTCGATTGTCAATAGATTCATTCGCATCGCTGAAGCCGCTAAGGGCGCTGTTGCAGTACATTGTAAAGGTATTTTAATTTTATGATATTTCTTCAATAAGTCAGTGGTGGTCTAGTGGTTAAAAGGCCCGCCTCTCGTTGCCGAGGGCGCGGGTACAAACCTGGTACCAATGTGATTTTTCGAAGTGATATGCACTTTCTGCGAGTATTTAGACACCCATGAAATACGGTGAAGGAAAACATCGTGAGGAAACCTGGATTTATACATAGTTTCACAATTATAAGTTTGAAATCACCAACCCGTCTTGAGCAAGCGTGGTGATTAATGCTCAAACCTTCTCCATGTGAGAAAGAGGCCTTTGCTCAACAGTGGGCTCTGATAGGCTGATGACGACGATATTTCTTTATATAAAATCATAGAAAATTTCGTCCTTTGAAGTCGTATGAACGTAAATAAGAGCTTATCAGTGTCTTATATATTATATTGTGTGTTTTCAGCTGGCCTAGGTCGTACCGGTACATTGATAGCTTGTTACATGATGAAGCATCACGCATTCACCGCTCGAGAAGCTATCGCGTGGCTAAGAGTGTGTAGACCTGGCTCTGTTATAGGACACCAACAATGGTTCCTTGAAAAGTGAGTATATGTATTATAAGAGACGAAACTTCTCAGCATTCCATGGATTCACCGTGCGTGTGTCGGGTCCATCGTTGCAGGGACCTCTCCTCAGGAGCTTCAACAGTGCCTGGGACTTGCGACCCAGGTGTAGGTTTAAGGGACTCCTTAACTAACGCGCGTTATACGCTCACCTCCACTGTCTAAGCTCCTCTCCCTACCAAACCAAATAGTAAATAAATATTATATACGTATAATATATTAACCTTTTTGGAGTATGTGTGATAATAGGAAACATTTCTTTAAAGGACCATTTTATAAATTCAATGAATGCTTTTATGCTATTAACTATGGTTTCTGACTCCTTAGTGAATCTCTTTAAAATTGTCTTATATGTTTAAAAAAATATATCCTATTGATAAAATTGCACTCGGAACAAAAACTATCATAAATAAATAAGTCGAATTAAAGCCAAAATCTTTTTATGACACCTTAAAACACAAACCAAATATTAAGCAAATTGTTTTGTTCCTATCCTGTTTTGTAATGTATGTACACAGTATATAATTGTTATAAGTTATCAACAGACTTCATAGTAATTAATTTTCTGAGATGAAACCCTTAAAATTATGTTATATATTCCAGCATACAGCCCAGAATGCACGCTCTAGGAGAGGCTTATCGACGGCGGAACAATGTTACATCTTTATCAGTATTCACGAGACCTATATACAGCCTGCGACCAGCGCAGACAGAAGACAAACCCGTGTCACTGCAGACTATACTCAATAGCAATAAAAATGCAAATAAGGTAATTCATGTTATACTATATATTTCTAATTTAACTAAGAAAAAATACTTCAAAACACATATATCTCAGAATCTCACATAAGATATAGATTCAAACATAATAAAATAAATGTTTAACCATTGAAATGTTTAAATTTTTATGGTTTTGGTCTTAGTAGTTGTTAAAGAGATAATTCTACGCATATGTAGTTACACAAATGTTAAAAACTCCCCTTTTTCTATAACAAAAATTGTCACCTAGGTATATTCGTACCTAAAAAATTTTTATGCCTTAGAATTATTGTAATCTATCAATACAATCTGATCAGATGTTCCAAAAAATACACTAAACACCTAGAACTTTTTTTTATAAATTAATATTTTTAAATTATTTCATAATATAATACCGAATTCTATTTTTGCAGTTGGACAACGCTAACGTCTTGAATGCCAATGAGACGGATTCAGAAAACAACGTAACTCAAGTCATCGGCAAATACAAGACCACAGCTACTCCAATGCTGCCAACAAAAACGCTGTTTTCACCAAAAATGAACTATATGATACCCACCAATAATATCAGGAATGCCAACAATACAAACTTGAAGCCCCAACCTAGGTTAATGAACGCCACGCTAAAGTCCCATTACGCAGCCAAGACTTCCACATTCCCGCCAACAAGAAGTGCCAATTCCCAAGTTAAATTAACTGCTGGGGTTAAACCATTAACTGGTAAGAATTCCTTCCACGGCCAACGGGCTAACCTCGCGAGGCCAAATCTTGCATATTCCCACGGCAGTAGCCCAATCAAAACATTCACCAGAAAAGGAATTGTTTCGAAACTTTCATCAAACGATACTAATGTAGTTACAACACTGACCAACGTAACTTCAACCTTATCAGCATTGACTGAGAATTGTCATTTGAATGGCAAACGGCTGCCGTCAGAACCGAATCTCAAAGCCGTACAGTCGAAAACACCAACAAATATAAACGGCAGAAAGAAATTAATCGTCAGATCAAATTCAATAAATCGCAAGAAGCTTCCAAAAACACTTCCAAAGAGTGGTCTAGAAGGTACACAGGATCTATCGTCCAGTGATACCAACATCACCAACATTTCCGCTGACTCCCTAGACACTCCTTTCCGTTTCCGGCGGAAACGGGATAAATCTAAAACCCCAGAACCAATGGACTGCATATCGAATTCGGTGATCACATCCGACGTGACGCCAGATAATTACGAAGAGACGGGAAATTCGCAAGGAAATAAGTTATACAAGATCAAAGCGTTACGGAAGAAATGTCCCGCTTTCGGTATGAGTCTATTGAAAGACGGCATTCAAACACGGTCGAGTACTTGCGCGAGTAGCTCGACCGTCAAGAAGAAATGATACCACTGTAGAAATATGCACATTTTTACTGTGTCATAGTGATATTTGATTGTTGATGCCTCGTTTAGCTTCAACTGAACAATGAACTCATATCAAGCTGCTAACAATTTTTTATACATGAAAACTAAATAAATCACTATGATTTTTGTTTTGTTTCTACTAGATAGGATAGCAAGGCCTTGTGAAGGGATAAAATGTGAATATTATGTCCCTTTCTTCTCACAAAACCTCGCGGTCTGATGAAAATACATAATAATTAGTGCAGTTTATTAAATAATTAAGCCTAATCGTTGTATTGTTGTAACATTTTTTTTATAGAGTAATATGTTGTAGAGAGATCTGTTCTTGATAAATTTGTTATCAAATCGTATATAATAACTTTATTTGGTTATGATGTTACTGCACTCAATTTCATGTTATTAAAACTATGTCCAATAGTCATAATAATTTCATATAATATACTTTCTTTAAACATATAATGTAGAAGGAAATTTTTATATAAATAAAAAATATGTATTATATAATTTTTTTATAGTGTTGTGACGTTTAAAATTAATGTTTCTAACTGGCTTTTAGTAATAAAATGTTACTAAAGTGTTAATCTACATAAGTGCAGTCAGTACATTAAGCATGTATTATTTCTTAACTAATTTTAAGGGAAAATATTTTTATAATTCTTATCGGATGCCATTATAATTTGCTTCTATTGAGCTTCCTGTTGTGAATTATGATTTATTTTATGTTATAAACGATACATTGAAGATTGGATATATAGAAGTTGCTTTTTACTAAGTTACGGTTATACATAGTTAAAGAAAACTATCAGTAGATACATATAGAGTTTTTCATTCACACTATATTGATACTGAATGCAAAGGTTTACGAGTGAAAACAAGATACTTATCGTATGTAGTTTGGCGACATAAACTTGTCATAAGGCATAGATAATTATCTATTTCATATTTCATTATAATTAAGAAATCATATAACTTATAAATAACAATCTATGAAGTAGCTAAATCGTTTAATGAATTAATTCATACTTAAAAACTGATAGTTTTATTTAACTATTTAACTCATACTTAGGATAAATATTTTCTTGTTACCGCTTTATTATTTTATATGTATACATAATAGTTATAGTCACAAGTATATAAATAGTTTGTGTTATATAAGAATATTATTTACCTTAACGGTTGTGATATGCAATCGACATATATTTTATTTAATCTGAAGATAAATCTTATAATCCTTGGATATATATACCGTGTGAGTTTTTTTCTATTATATGTATTTTAACTGGAATGGAGTGCTATTTGACGTAATAGTTTTGAGACGAATTTAAGGTCATATCAATTTGTAAAGAACTTGCCACTTTATATAGTAAATATATATAAAGTTTGTTATATCTATATAAAAAGGCTGTTAAATCTATAACATATATATATTTCTTAGCATGTATATACTATATAATTTCTTTCTATGCATTATATATTATAATTGGAATAATTATATATCATAAAGTAAAAGATTTGTAAATGAAATTATTTGAAATATTCTACAAAGCAGCTTCGGCATTGTAGTGGTATATTGCGTTCTGTTAATTTCATTATCTAAGTAATGATATAATTAATACATAATTATAAATCGTTGATATATAAAATGTATGTTAAATAATTAGAAGAAATTGAATTTAGTGTAAAAGCTTAAATAATATTGATACAATATTCTGGTGAAAGAAAAAAAATCTTCTCAAATGTATTGTTGCAGCTAAGTTTTTTCCTTTTTTTTATTTATTTTATTATTAAATTTTTTATAGAAAAATAAATGCTTAAATCAGAAATCTTTGTAAATTGTTACGTATTGTCATATTGTTTAGATTGATATATTTCTAAATCGTTTTTTTTATATATTTTCAATTATGATTTGGCGCGGCGACATGCGAAAGTTAAATGGGACCAGTAAGAGGGAAAGTTATCATTCTATAATTTACGTTGTGATCTAATATGTTACTAATACATACCTAAAGGTATTCAGGAATGCTTGTGCTTAATATTGAATGAAAATTATATTGCGATTATATATGACTTTTATTTAAAACTACCCTCAGTTTGATGTTTATTAATAAATATGATATATTTTTATAAATAAATATATGGAACGACTGTTTATTGAACTTTTATCTCTTAAATTATTTAATGTAACATATATATCATATTAAAAAAATAATTTCATGATAAGTTTCATATATCAAAGTTACTGTTGGTGGATTAAAATTATATGAAAACAATTCTTTATTCAAACAATCTGCAATTTTATATACATTTATAAGCGATAAAATAAATTTTTAATCAGATATTTACAATATATAAAACATAGTAATTCATATTTATAATAATATTACTTAGTATTCATATTCTGATACGATTACAACTAATCTGGCGACCGCGTTGCCAGCGAACATTGATCTTTGGTATAAAGACATGGTTAGTTCCAATTCAGCTACTTGTGGACCCTGGAGGGAACATTGGAGAGAGATCACGCACACGTTGTTACTAGGCCTCATGCTGAAAGAATATTCAAACTTTTGGTTAAACGTATTTCCATATAAGAAGCCTAGTCTTAAGCTGGTATTTACCTACTGTTTAGGAACACCATGCTTAAAGACATGATCTTTGTAGAAAATATAATAAGGATATAGCTACAACTCCGTCGAAAATTAAGTATATATCTTTGTTACTATATTTTAGTCTGAGCAATATGATTGATATATTATCAACGTTAACAGATAATAATTTAACTACTAACCTTGAATAACTCTAACTTGATTGTACACTATATTTTTGTATGAAATACATATAAATATGTTTACCCAAAGCACGTAATATCCGCTGGTTTGACTCCAGGCGCCGCTTGCACGTCTAACAGACGCATCTCAAAGTTTACAACAGCATCACGCCATGCGGGACCTTGCATAGAGAATAGATCCACCTGTAAAGAAATAAATAAAAACAAACTGGCTAAGTCGTGATGCTAGATATATTTAACAGGATTATTAGTATATTATAGTGTGATTTTTGCGATGTTATATAAAAGAGAATAAGTACTAAATTCAACAATTACTACCTGCCTCGGAAGAAGTTTAACAGTGTATACAATGGAAAGAAATTGCAGAAGCTATTTTTATATTTTAAGGTTATTAGCTATTTTTATACTTTTAAACAATATAGTAGGAATGAACTATTTTTTTGGGCAATAGTAGAAATTAGTGCCAATCCATAAACTCACACTTCCTAGAGGTAAATACAAGTTGGAGACGAATGTTATAAAATTGTAGCTATAGGTGCTCGGTTGCTGAAGACACGACCAGTCTGACACTGGACACGAGCGTTGTATTCGGGCACATTTGCTGTGAAAATTACATTTGCTTTATAGCAGTATTCATAATATTTCTAGAAAAAACTCAAAGCTTCTTAGAAGAATAGGGCCATCTGCAGGTCACAATATAACATATATCGCGCATTTTATTGTTATTTACAATACTTGTTATAAGCACATTAAGAGGACGAAAAGATATTTATACCTATTTATCAGGAGACAAAATAAAATGTTACATCATATTAACAACATAATATTATTTCTGTGTATAAAATTTTGTTATCCAAAGTAACTCACTGTTTTCCTTCAAGCCGGTATCCTGGTGGGCATTTTATCTGATGGCAGTGATAGCCACCGCGGGTGTTCTGACAAACCTCTCCCACACCACCGCAGCGAGCTTGGCCATTTTCACATTCGTCAATATCTGTATAATAAATAATAGTTTGAACATAACTATTAAGTAACTAACAATATAAAGATTGTCTAACGTAGCATTTATACTGGTATCTGTTAAATGTTTTTGGATTAATTAAATTCGGCTGCTATTTAGTTTTTAAAATATTACAGTATTAGTGAATTGGAAATATTTGTATTATTGTCTCTAACATAGTAATGACATTATGTCTTTAAAGGAGATTTTAATTATTGCACACGACTTAGTTCGCATTATAAAGTGTAATACCATTCTCTAGAAAATTCCGTTCAGTGTTTTTTTATGTACAATTATACATAGACGAAATCAAACACGAAACCAAATTACCAAAAACGAAAAAATGAATCAATAAAATAAGTGTACTGTTAATTCAAATTTGTGATATACCTAGACAAGATCGTTTATCGTCAGCCAGTCGGTAGCCCGAAGGACAAGCGCAACGATAGGAGCCCACTGTGTTAACACACTGAGCTGTACATATACGGGCCCCTGCCTCTGCACATTCATCTACATCAGTACAAGTCCTGGAAATGCCATAAATTTCATTAATAGAACCTCTATTCATAATAGCTATGACTAATTTTGACTTATTTCATACAAGTTTTAATTATTGTAATTAGTGTGATCAAGACTTGAATCGTATCTTAAATTGCTAAATAGTAATTACTCTTATTTACCAAATTTTACAAACGTCGGTTCCATGGTTTCTTTAAGATTTATAATTATATAGATTTCATAATTACTATCTTATGATATCGAAGATTTAAGGTTCAAATCCTGATCCTCTTGATTGATGGTATTACATTAATCGGTACTTTAGTTCTTAGTTACGTGCTTTTTCACACTTACCGATTGTCATTGCTGAGTCTATAGCCTCTGTTACAATAGCACCTGTATCCGCCCCAGGCATTAACGCACACTTGTTCACATAATGGTTCAGGCTCGGAGCATTCGTCAACATCCACACAGACTTTGTCATTAGACGGAGCGTTTCTGAAGCCCTCTGAACACTCACAACGATAGGACCCAATAGTGTTGATGCATCGCGCGTTGTAAGAACAAGTCTGGTATTTGGAGCAAAAATTTTATTAACATTAGGTATATGGTTAAATAATGAGGTCGAAGACTTTTGCGAGTATTCATTTAAATGAAACTCATATTGTTTGGATTACTACGAGTAATTTATTATTTTAAAAAACTACATACTCCCGACTATTCCATTACTTTTCACTTTTCAGCAACCGTGATCACGGGCAGACGAGATGTGAGTGTCTGTCAGTTGGTCTTGTTATTTATTTATCATCTACCGCCATCGATTACTTAATTTTCTGGCGTACCGTTCTGGATCTTATCTTTATTGTTTTTTTTTTCAAACTAACATTTTCCGATTTACTACGTGTTTATAATTATTTTTAACAACATACTTCCGACGTTTCGGTTACTTTGCAGCAAACGTGAACACGGACAGATGAGATGAAAGACTTTTTTTGTTAGATATCCCTGAATATAACTACGAAACTGTAATGGACAGATAAAGTAAATTATGGTTATTCGCTATTTTGTTAAGAAATGAAGTGCGTTTATTTGTTCTAAAATCCTAATAAATGATCAAAGTTTTTTTCTGGTTATGTCCATAAAGTCAGCTCAAACAAATAAAATATAACTCACATTGCCATAACTGCACTCATCGATATCATCACATTTCTTGCCGTTGCTCCAATGGCCGGCTGGGCACTGGCAGGAGTAGCCTCCATAGAAGTTTTCACATCTCTGCTGCGGACCACACTCGGAGATATTCATCTCACATTCATCCAAATCTGAGAGATAGAATATGCTTAATAAATACAATTAATAAATAATCCAATTTTAGCAATTTTAGCATTTTAGCAAAATCTAAAAAAAGGGTAGGACTCAGTTATATATAAAAATAACAACTTTAAATATGTTCAAATTTAACATCCCCAGAAAATACAGATTTTTGTCATAAATTTCTAAATAATATGAAAAAACAGTTTATGATTTAATTTCTCGATCCTAAATTATATCTTCTCCTTTTGGCTCTACTTGGGAAGTATTTACATTTACTACATATTTACTTGTTTCATTGGATTTATAAAGGACATAAACGAGAGCTTTCATAGGTAGTAGGTGAACTTACCCATACAGACTCTATCTGGTGTAAGTTTGTAGCCCCATGGACATGTAGTGAGTACAGATCCTGTGTCATGGAGTCGTTTGTATGTTGGACGCATGTACCTCGGCCCTCGCTGGCCGTACTGAGCTCCTATAGTGATCACGTTGGAATCTGGACTGATAACTGGCGGGCTGTCGTGGTAAGCTATGGAATTTATTAAAAAAATAAGAAAATTTACTAAGTTTTTTAACGAAGAATGGAGTATAATTTATTTTCCATTCTCACATTATTTTCTAAGTAAGGATTCGTATATACATACGTCAATAAATTTCCAAGTAGTTGGATAACAAGAAAAGGTTTTCTTAAGCGAAATAAATTCAGGCAATATACTTATATAGAATATCAAGAATATTTTTATAGGATCAAGGGATAAACCAGTTGATGACAAATATTTATGATTATCACACTTAACATGCACAAAAATTATCAAATCAAAATCGTTTAGGAAAAGTGAAACTTACTATAAGAGGTGTTTTGTCTACGAGATAGACATCTTGGGCCACATTCACAGCGATATCCTCCTTCTGTATTAACGCAGTCCTCTGTAGGTCCGCAGCTAGCCCTTTGGGTAGCACATTCATCTATATCTAAACAGCAAAATATGAATCATAAACGTCATATATAGAAAAGGGAATTTATGATACTCGGAAAAGGATTTGCTCCGCTCTGTTCTATGAGGACATATGTAGAAGTGTATATTAAATATGAAAGAGGTATTTACCAACACATTTCCTTTCATTGTGGTTGTAAGTATACCCTAGCTCGCAATTAACCGGGCTGAGATGACCACGCGATGGACTTGGATACCAGGTTGGCGTTGGTGCTAAAAGAAATATTGATACATAAATAATAAATCTAATATGTATATATGATATTGAATAAATATACTTATATAAATATATACCTAGCGGAGCAACTTCATTTGTATTTGTACTACGTGAGGTTGTCGACGTTGATGTACTGCTTGTTATTGGTCTAATTGTAGTTCTAGGAGTTATTCTTGGTATAGGTCTAGTTGGTCTAGCTGGTATTCTTGGCGGTCTGGTAGGTCTTGGTGTAGTTGTAGGTCTTGAAGTAGTGGTTGGTTTTGGAGTAGTTAGCCTTACAGTGGTTGGTCTTGGAGTAGGTGGCGATGGAGAAGTACTGGGGGTAGTTGCAACACCGCACCAGCCGGATGGATCCCTCACAAAACCAGGAATACACTCGCAGTCGTAACTGCCTGGTGTATTTATACAGTACTCTAAGGAACTGCAACTATGTCGATTGGCTTCGCATTCGTTGATGTCTGAAAGATAAATTGTTTTATTAAAAACGATACACCCGGTAAGATAGTTTTTAGTCATAAAATCTTGAACACTGAATATGGTATTATAAAAATATTAATTGATAAATTTATATTAATAAGAGGAAAGTTCCTCTTGCGATACGGATAATATAATACAGATTATTATGGCATATATTAAATTGAATATCCCAAAAACTTTGTAGTATATAGCTTTAAATTATTAGACAATAGATTAAAAAAAATCATATTGTTAATTAAGAGTAAATTTTAAATATAAATTATAAGTCATATCGTACCAACGCATTCCCCCCGTTCATTCCTCTCATATCCATCCAGACAATGCAACCAGTTTGGATTAAACCTATCATGATCTCTGTTGATAACGTTGGTCCATCTATCCTTTGGGATATCATTTGTATTGAGGACAAAACTGCCGTCTGGTTCTTTGTCGTTTTCGATAACATTTGTTATATCTGGTTTTGGAACTGTTACTTCTTTTGGAGTTGTGTTTTCTCTTGGATAGTCCGACCATTCTGGATATTTTGGCACCGGTGGCGGAGTTGTTGAGGTCGTACTAGTTGTGGTTGAAGTGGAAGTTCTATGATAGATTGGTCTTCTTGGTGTGTTGGGGTATCTTCTGGGTGGATATGGTCTCGGCGTGGTGGATGGTCTAGGAGTGGTGGATGGTCTAGGAGTGGTAGTGGTAGAGCTGGTTGTGGTCGGTCTTGGCGTGGTTGTGGTCGTGGTCGTTGTGGTAGACGTTGTGGTTGAAGTCGTTGTAGACGATGAAGTCTCTGGACTTGGAATTACTGAATTGTCCTCCCTATTAAGGAATATTGTGATTATTAACAAATACGAACAGTTTTGTAATTTCAAGAAATTTATGACACTGTTTTTATAATATAACTAGTTCTTGCCCGCGACTTTGTCCGCGTTAGTTTCGTCATTAGTAATATATGTATAGCTGACCGGGCGAACTCTATTCCGTTTTAGAGGCCCTTAATAATCAGGTTTCTCCTGTTTCAATCGAACAGAATGATTGACATATTAGTTAGTTGTCAAATCTAATGTCAAAGAAAACGTTTGTATGGGAAATAGAAAAGGGCAGTTTTTATGGTTTTCCCAGTAATGAATCAATTTTTTTCAGCTTTTATACCTTCCCTGAACCTCCACGAACATTTCAAGACTAAGATAAGATAAATCCGTTCAGCTGTTCTCGAGTTTTAGCGAGACTAAGGAACAGCAATCCATTTTTATATATATAGAAGATTGTTGCTTGACTTACTCGGAGTCGTAATATTCATATTCATAAACTGGCGCCGGTGGTGTTGATGTTGATCGTGTACAAGTGAAAGAACCTAGTACGTTTAAACAACGCAGTTCAAAGCCACAGTTGTCTAACTTTAGGGCGCACTCATCAATATCTGCAAAAAACATTATAAATTTAATGTTGAATTTTTAACTTGAATACAAACCAATGAACCTAAATGTTTTAATAAGGTTTAATCTTAGCTATGTTTTAATGGGATATAGCCTATGATATCTCATGATACTAACCCACACATGATCCTGATGTTGAGTCTAACTCAAAACCGTTCTTACAGCGACATTCATGTCCGGCGAAGGTATTAATGCAGTTCTGAAACTGGTCGCACAAATGCGTTCCTTCTCGACATTCGTCAATATCTGAGAACATAAATATTATATTGAGTATCTCGGATCCATATAATTTATATTACTATAGTTTTTATTCTTAGATACAAAATTAGTTCGTTTTTATTCTACTAAAAATGTTCAGAGCAGTTGGATTCATGAAAGATAATTGACAATACCTTCGCAACTGCTTCCTCGTCTACGTGTACCTTCTTGGCAATTCTGTGTGGCCAGCCTGAAAAGAATAAGGGAACAAACGATAAAACATTGAGCAGGGAGAATTATGTTCACATAAATTTTACAACATTACTTTGGTAGGGTACTAATTTTTGACTTGCAATTGTAGGCTCCTGGCAAATTAATACAAACTTCATTTCGTTTGCACACTTCTGAGCTTTCTTCGCATTCGTCGATATCTAGAAAAATAGATATATGTAGTATAATAACCTTAGTGATAACTGATTATGTAATTATTGCTTAAACAGCCATACCTTCACATATACCAGTGTTACCATTGACCTTGAAGCCGGGAGCGCATCGCTTAGAGACATGGTCCTGGCAGAAATAGCTTCCGTGAGTGTTTATACAATATTGTGATAGACGCTGGCAGTCGTCCAAATGTTCCTCACACTCTTCGATATCTTATATAATTAATATAATATCATAATTAGTCGACATACATTAAGCGTTAGATCACTGAGTAAAAAAAGTCTACCTAATAATAATATTATTTATGAGTAATGTGACAAAAATTTATGTAAAACAAATTTAAAATAAATTTTCTGTAAGAGAAATGCAGCTGCTTCTTATTTTGTAGACAATATGAAAAGTTATTATAATTCCATGAAATGGTATAAATGTATGAACTTACCAAGACATTCATCATCAGGGCCAGCTCTGAAACCCGGCGGGCAGATATCATTTCTCACAGTCGATGAAGTTGATGCTCCAGCCTCAGTTGTTGGTGCTGTACCATCTTCTGTGTAAGGTTTTCCAACTTTACCGGCACATTTGTAACCACCGATAGTGTTTTCACAGAGGTACTTTGGACACGGCGGCCTTGGAAGACGGCACTCATTAATATCTAAAAATAAAAATATATTAACATATGTGTTAGCAAAATGGATAATCACTATATAATTAATGTACCAACCATCACAGACTTGGTTAACGACATTTCGTTTAAATCCTGGAGGACAACTTAGGCCAACATCTCGCTTTTTAAGAGGCACACATTTATATGATCCTTCAGTATTGTGGCACACAGTGTCCTTATCTGTGCACAAGTCATCTACGGCTTCTGCACATTCATTTATATCTGAAACAAAGATTTAATAAATATAATATTCTTTTTCTAATGTACATTTTACTGACATTGACGAATATGTTTGCCTTATACCGTTTGACCCAGTACTTTTTCCACACATAATTGGACAACCACAATTAGTACTAATCAAAAAGATACCTTTACAAGATTTTTTATCTTGTTGAAGTCTATAACCATCTTTACACAGACACGTGACCTTGCCGTCACTGTCCGAACAATTATGCTCACAAGAGTTCGCCTTACATTTTTCCTTTGGTTTTTCTGTAGTAGTTACTTCTTTTTTCTCCGTAGTCGTCTCTAATTCCTGCGCAGCTTCCTGAAATATAACAAACAAAACAAAATAAAAGACACAGTCTTTGTTTTAAGCCAAACCAAGTTAGAATTACAAAAAAAAATCATACCACACAACATTTATGATAGGCTATCTTTCTCAAAGCTGTTAATGGGCTCAAGAATTCCGTAGGTACTTCGCCACAGGCCTGCCTACCCTGGGTCCCAGCGAGACGACCAAATGAACACTCGTCGCAACAAGTCTATAACAAAACACACTATTGGATAAATAATGATTACATAAAAAACAAATTTGTATTGAAAATCTTCAGAATAAATTTAACGCTGACCAATAATTAGTGTCTAATCTATGATATCAAACTATATTTCAATTACCTTTCCAATTTCTCCTTCAGGCGTTTCACATTTCTTAGCCACAGCCCACTTTATGCCAGCGTTGCATTCGTCTGTTTTCCTACAAAAAAGTAATAATTCAGAACCAAAATAGCGAAGAACAATTGAAGTCATTTATATATTTAAAATACCCACAATATTTGCTGTTCGCAGCAGGTTTTTGCGGCTGGTTTACAAGCTTCCATCTGTTCGGGTTCAATATCTTCAGGTGTGCCTAGTTTAGAACAATCTTTTTCAGGAGAAGTCATCATAAACATCTCTCCATAACTGCAGCATGTTTCAGTTATATCCGCTATTTCTTCTGACGTAAGAGCTCCTATAAAATCGCACAAAAATCAATAAAATTGAAATTGATGGGCAATATCAACATAAAATAATAGCAATATTTGTATGATATTTCCAAAACGATTATACATTTCTAATATCTTTAAAGTACTATAAGAAATTTTTGAATATTTTGTCCTTTAAATTTTTCATACATGTTTCTAGCCGTCAGTTGCTAGTTAGGTAGGTAGGTGAAACAATACATACAGGTAGTTTATCCGAGTGGAGGTTAGACTAATTTAGATTATTTATCAACCGCAACTATGCACACTTGTTGAACGTAGGCGATTGTCACATATTATCCAATATAAGACTATCTGAAGTTAAATTTTATCACACGGGTAATGCAAGTATAAGTATTTGAGATGACGAAAAACATTAAATCACAGGTTAATAGTTTGTACAAACCAAATACATATTACCGTGGCAATGATTTATTGGGCTCCTTAATTAAAATTATTTCATTTTGTACTGACTCTTAATGTTCATAGATTTTCTAAAGATTTCTTTACATTATGACATCTAAGACTTTCGCGAGTATTTATTTAACTGAAACTAATATTATTCGGATTACTACGCGATATTTTATTATTTTAAACTACATACTCCCGAAGTTTAGGCTACTTTGCAGCAACCGTGATCACTGGCAAACGAGATGTGAATGTCTGTCAATTTGTCATGTTATTTATCATCTACCGCCATCGATTTCTTAATTTTCTGGCGTACCGCTCGGGATGCCGGCAATATGCGCTTACGGTGTATTAGTTTCATATTTTAAACATAATTACCATCGAAAATAATATATATCTTTTATAATCTTTAAAAAAAATCATCTACAACAGCAGGTCTTAAATCTGCAACTTCACCAATATCTTATCAATTGCTTTATAATTAAGTTTAATTTTATCCTCGTTTATCTTTACTATATTGTACCGAAATTTTAGATTCAAATTCAGCGAGTGTGAAAATTTTTTTCATTCTATACTTTGTGTATGAACTTCAATTTAAGCATGCTTCGATGTTAAAAATATAAGTATACGAATTAATAATGTTGTTTTCTATTTTTATACTCAACCTTTCAACTGCTACTGAATCAAATTTTTATTTGTAAATCTCAAAGTCTATATTACCATAAACTAAGATTAATATAAACCATACGAGGCATTTTTTATTAAATGCCGTAATTTTCGACCGAACCCTATGATAAAAAAGTTATTTTCGACACCTCGATATAAACTTTTTAGTTTTATAATCTCTAGTCCTATCAACTTCACTCTTTCTTTACAAAAACTTACCAACCTAAAAAAGTTTCCTATAGTTTGGAACAATCCTTAAAAGTAAATTTATGGATTGATCATCCCCTAGAGTAGAAAAGGATTTGTATATTTTCAGTTATCTATAAAAATTACTAAGACATTTGTCAGTTTATTTATACCTTATCATTCTGGGACACTCGTTAAATATATTTCCCTTGTAACAATTTATCGATATATTTACAACTGCTATTGATCTTAGCGACCTTTCAAGATGCATCGGATAAACAATTACCTAATTACAATAATTCCATTCGCAAGTGATTTGTTTTTCTTGATTTGTATGCGTGCTAAGATATCAATTGAAAAACTCTTGTAATATTGATCTCTTTCTCTTAATCCAAATGTGTTTTGTTTTTGTACCAATAATCTATTTAAAAACTTCTTTTGTATGCAGTATCATTCCAAGTAAGATTATACATATGTTAAACAAAATACAGTCAGTTTTATGACTTTTATCATATATATTAGTATTCGGAATAATTTTGTAGATAGTGTTAATTAGATACGTAATGGTTTAAATCATTAATTAATGGACGTGAAAATAGTATGGTATCGAAATAAAAAATATTATTATATTATATTTGTAATGTACCTATGTCTATATATATATATAGCAAACATATATACTAAATAAATATGAACCTGTACGCCATGTTCTATGTACTTAAAGAACCTTTTTTAAATTTTTTGTTCGTCTGTTTGTTCCCGCAAATCTCAAAAATGACTTAAGCTATTCTGGCAGGACTTTCACTGGAAGGTAACTGGTGAAATTAGCAGTAACTTAGTCTATTTTTATTTTCGATATTTTGTTTTATTTTCATTAATATAACAACAAAATAACCATTCCGGTATATATCGCGGGCGTTAATACCGACATTCGTAATACTTCGTAGATTATGCGGAACAATCAGGCAAACAGTTATTGCCTGTTCTTAATGTTCCTTCATATATTGGGAATCATTTGTTTTGATTATATACCGGTGTGGGAAGCTACTTATAATCTGGCCCTAATCCACGTCAGCGAAATTTGATACCTGAATAAATGTGCTTAATCTATAATCTTGTGGGACTTGATGAATAAGGATTCGTGGTTGGAGTTTTTAAAGATATATTAATATATAAAAAGAATACGTTTTTATTGGAATTGAAGCTAAAGGTATTTTAAATAAATAGCTCTAGATTTATTTTTAAATTAAAAAATTATGTTTCTCCAAATAACCTTCTAACAAATGAGCCTTATGCATGTATAGGAAAAGTCATAAGTATCAATTTAGTGGCTTTAATGGAAGAATTAACTGATAGCCATAAATATTATCTTGTATTCATTCGATGAGTTTATGAATATTTTAATCTCTACGTACACAACTTCGCATCGCTAAAGTTCTATAGATAAAGGTTTAGTTTTAGCAAAAACATAACGTTACAATATAATAGATAAACTATGTAATTTATCTTTAAGTTTAATATAATATGAATAATTAATAGTGCAGGCCAAAATTTATCAAAAACTTCTATCAGAAGTTTTAGTAGACAAATCCATAGAAACATAGTATTCAAAGTAGACAAAAACTTGTATTTAATTAAAATAACGAATCACCGTTAACACGTGTACATACTTCAGTTTTAATTTCATAACATATTCCATTCGTTACAACATTATTTCTTTTCATAGAACTTCAATAGTGTTGAAGTAGACATAATGACCTTGACATGCACATATTTATACAGGTGAAAACAAATTACTCACCCTGGACTGAAAACCTTGCAACACATAACACTATCATCACTAATAACTTCATTTTTGAGTTTTTATAGTCCAAAAAAAGTAAAAAAAAATCACAAATAAAATTACTGGTTGCTCGAAATCCGGTATATCGGAATTATAAATAAATTAAATGAATTTGAAGTCATTTTTATTTAAGATGCGCGTTGTCTTCTCGACGCCTTACTCGGTAATGATAATGTATACAGGTCAAATTGTGATAATGATATCTGATTCTGCGCATGTCATCTAAACGCGATCGGGTCAAACTATAGTTTTCTGTTGATCGTGAATAGAATTTTTATTATATTATTTATATATTATATGTTATAGAAGATATTTAATGTTACAACTGTCTTGTAAACTACCTGTTGCTAAAATTTCATAGTGAAAGATAGAAGTTGTTGGTTTGGATTTGTGTTACAAAAGATGCATAACAAATAAACCTTTTTTGGGTTTTAGTAAATAATTTTCAGTGACCACTCAAACTTATCTACAGGCTTTTACGATTGGTATAACATAAATCTTGAATTAAAGAAAACATTTTTTAAATATTTTTGGATCTTAAATAGATTTGAGTGTACTTTAATATGTATATAAAAAATTTAATGTATTCATCGGCATAATAAGTGGAATGTACAACTTTTTCGAAATATGTATTATGTTCTGTTTTAGAACACCGTAACAAAACTACTAAAAGGTGGAATAGACAAATAATGCAAAACAATAATACAATCAAGAGGTGTTCATGATAAAACTTAAGAAATAATGAAAAACTAAAATAATTTTCATTCAAATTAAGAGTAATTCGTTCGTTAAAGAGTTAACAAGATTTAGGAATAAAGAAATTTAAAACGTTTAAATGATTGTCGTGTACATTATAAGCCAGTAATAAATTTACAAAAGTATTAAGCATTTTTCTTGACATTTAACATAATCTGTGTAACATAGACGATTAATTTTTATAATCTGCCTGACATTTAGTAATGCAAATGGAATTATAACTTTATCTACGGCAGCGTTTATACAGCCAATGTAACTCCGTAAAAATATTTTCTCTTTCCATCATTTGTTTAGAAACTACTAAGAGTTTTACAACTGACTAATAAACTTTTCTACTTAAAAACAATACCCAGAATACATATATGTTATCACGGTCTTGACATCTTGACCTCAACCACTAGGATCTCAACAAATAATATCTATGAAGTTTATGAAAGTACGATGTTTTGATTCCATTCAAATTAATGCTTGCATTAACCTACATTCGTTTTATAAGTACTGGGTTCTATTGAAATGTTATACGCATGGGTTAATCGCCGCTAGCAACGGCCCAGTTTGGTATAAGTGGTGAGGAGATTTTTTACAAATATATCTTTGTATCAAAACTCAAAGATATATGATCAAAGTATTCTTAGTACTAGTTTGCGTCATCACTAAATACGAAGTTTATCTCGTTTTTCATTCAATATGTATGAATGTAAGACTGTTAACGTTACGTATGTAGTGTGTATGCGAACGTGGGGAAAGCGTACCATAGGTATATTCATTAAAAGAATTTTAAAGAATCACTAGCTCGTATAAAAATGTAACTTTATCTTTTAACTTTATTCCCTTCGGTTTCATTAAGCACATGTGAAGTTTTAAAATATCTTTAAAATTGTTGAAGGCTTATTTAGGTTTAGAAATAAAATATTGATTTGTACATATTTTTCTTCAAAGAAGTCATTATCTTTTAAATATGATACTATACCATAAACAAAATATATGTAATGGCGATTGTTAAGTATCTTAAAGTATATTATATATTAAAAATGTATACATTCCACTCTTTAAATTTGCTCCATGTTCAGATACAAGTTTATGAAGAAGTTTTCAAATATTTTATAAATAATAGCATTACAAATCTAAGCTTCAATAAAAATACGGATAAAATAATTATTATTCAACATCCTTTGATACATTCGTATAATATATCTTTCGATGAAGAAATTCATTGTATGAGTGGCTTTAAAATTTAAAGAAGTGAGGTGAACATTGGCTTTTAGCCTTCGATCCAGTCATAATAATTAAATATTTTTACTTCTATACGATGATTACGACAAATTAGTTCAAAAACATTGTAAATTTGCTTTTAAGATAGATTTTTGTACTTTTGGTTAAATGGACTTTATTGTATAACGGAATTTCTATCTTGAGAATAAAGTAGGTTTATTTTTAATAATAATTTTATTAATATAATATGAGGTTAGGATTATAATTTTAAAACTCAAGAGCAGTGTATGTTATATATAAGATGATAGAAAAGGGGAAAATGTAGGTCAATATATTAATTAATATTTACCCAGTAATAAAAATAAACATTAAAATTTCCCTTTCTAATATTACGTTATCTAATATTTTCCATATTGATTAACTCTTGAAATTCAAGATAAATTGGAGTACACTTCTACTGATATTTTAAGATTAATAACTGTTATGAAATGTTTTTATTTTGTTTTAACTTTATTAATTTTCATTCTACTTTTAGTATTTACTAATTTCATAAATTAATTAACAGAAATCGGAAATATATTCAAATTTAACGTGTATTTATATTATAATGCAAAAATAAAATTTATTTAGATAACTCATAATAAATTTATTAATTCAGAAATAATACATATCTTTGGCACAGTCTCGTTAATCAGTCGGAATTACAAAAAATATTAATTATAATAAACCAATATTACTTATCAGGTTTTTCCTCATTCGTTTCATTTTTCATATCCTTTCTTACAGGTCCGGTGTGTGTTATTGGTACATTTCTTTCACCTTTCGGCGTATCAATACGTGAAGCTAGAACAGTAAGAACACCATCAGAAGATAGCCTGGACTCTATTGCATCTGAATTAGTATCTTCTGGTATTTTGAAACGCCTGATAAATTGCCTGGATATAAATCCGTGCTCATCTTGTTTTTCTTCATGTTTTCCTTCTACCACTATGTCGCCGTTCGCAATCTTCACAGTAATTTCATCTGGTGCAAAGTGCTGCACGTCGACGCTGATTTGCCATTTGTCTTTATCGAATTTGATCGACGAACCGGTATCTTTCGGCCACCACAAATTATATCGTGGTATAACAGGACTTGTAGCATTGAAGAGATCGTGCGGTGTTAGAGTGAGGCCAAAATTTTGATCATACAGTCGTCGTGGCCAGCGTAGATCGTAGTCGAAGAAGTATGGAGATATAGACATTTTTATCTAGTACACCTTTCGAATATTAGTATGAAGTCTGAATGAATTAATTTTAAAGCTTCAGCTATTTATATGCGGAGGAACAAGGACGTAATGAAGTTGGGACAACATATCAATACTCGAGAAATTTCTAGTCACCGATGAAATTATACTGCACTAGTTGTGAATCATCAGTATATATTTAGGGACGTTTGATAGTGATGTATTAAAGTGTGCTGTATGCAGTTTGTCAGCACGATAAAAATAGACGAACTGTAAATATCCACCCACTATACTTTGTATTATTCTCATGACAAATATTTATTTACTTTCTGGTGGCTTCGGTGAATCACTTGGCTTATCTTCCTTGAAAACACCGGGTTCTTTTGAAGTAGAAGCAATAGGTATCACGGTTTCACAAGGATAGTTCACACTGCACTTATTTCTGGGAGCTGTTATCATTAAACAACCGTCTGGAGACAGCTTGGATTTTATATCTTGAGGGTTACAACCTTCTGGTAACTTGAACTTTCTAACAAAAGTCCGTATCAAACAACCGTTTTCGGTTTTTCTTTCCTGTTTTCCTTCTACGATAACGAACTCAGATCTCGCCTTAACTCTTATTTCATCCTTGCTAAACTGATGAACATCTAAGAACAGTTGAAACTTCTCTTTGCCTATTTTTATTATTGGTCTTAAATTTCTAGTTTGCTTCACCCATGAACACAACTGGGGACGGAGACTCACATTTAGAAGAGGGCTCAAAATCATGTCTAAACAAATCTGTTTTCATAAAAGGGTAAATTTACTATAAAATCAATATTAAATACAACATTTTTGATATGTTTTAAACGTCAAATTTAGCTAATATTGTTGACAAATAATATACATTGATTTGAATCAAAAATGTTTGACGTCACTGTCTTAATATATTTTTTACTATTAAAATGAATCTACTTATAGAGATTTCAAAAATAAAAAGGCAACTATTTCTTATTATAGCCATTTACAACTGTACAACTATTTCTATTTACAACTGTACTCCTGATTGACCTCAAATTCAATCTTAAAATTATCTATAGGTATATTCTAGTTTTTAATTTATAGATTTTTCGATTGCTTTTTATGTACATTTTCTATATTTTAATTTTGTTTTTTTTACGTTTCTTTTAAGCCAATATACATTAATTATTATTGTTTAATATAATATTAATCGTGTAGTTTACATACATATGTACATACATTTAAAAAATACGTTATATATACATACAATAAGAATTTAAACGAACTTTGTCCTTAAGACCGAATTAAGGGCATTTTTTTATTTAATTATTCTGTGAATAACAAATATTTGTTTAAACATTTATTCATACTAATAAATTTATTGATTCTCATAAATTATTATTATCATATTGTTTCATCTTTATACAAAATATATACAGTGCAACTTTGGTATAAAAATATTGCATTGTAAACATTAAATTAATATAAAGTATGAGAAAATTAATGAAAAATCGAGATTTTTCTAAATATTTGAAATAAATTATATCTTTCAAACGACGACGCGACGGTTCATTGTTCTAGAACATCTAAAAATATTATTTGTGCAATGTATGTAATTATTTTCTAATGTATACTTAAACTTAAATAATATTACCACGAAAATATTTACCTGAAAAATATTAATAAATTTACTTTTTAATCATAATAGTATTTTATCACACCAATCCCATAATATAATTTTTATATAGTCTTGCGAACAAAAATCTATTTTAAGGAATAGGTATAATTAGATGAAAAATTAAAACACTTTTTAAATAATATTAATTATTTATTAAATAAAAAAATCACATAAAACTTAAACACAATCAGTCTATTTGGCATTTTAAATAAATAATAATATGAATTTTTCACTTCTTTTCTTCGGAATCTTTTATTTCATCTCTAGTTTCCTTTCGTACTGGGCCGGTTTGTTGAATCGGAACATTTTTCTCGTTCTTCAAAGCCGAGGGTTGTTTTGGAGCGGTCACAGTGAGCACACCATCAGATGACAAACGAGATTCAACAGTATCAGGGTTACAGCCATCAGGCAGGGCATACCTTCTCACAAACTGACGGGAAATAAAGCCGTGTTCATCCTGTTTCTCCTCATGTTTTCCCTCAACAACTATATAGCCATTGGATGTCTTCACTGATATTTCGTCAGGCGAAAAGTGTTGGACGTCCAAATTAATCTGGAACTTATCCTTATCCGCCTTGAGACTGGAACCGATGTCTCGGATGTTTGCTAATTGACGCCAGGGTCTAAAATAGTCCCGGGTTTGCATTGGAGAAGCGACGATTGTTAATAAATCATCCGGAGTTATAGCCAGGCCGAAGTCTTGGTCTAGAAGACGGCTGGGTCTGTGGCGTGGCCAGTCGTAGTCAAACATGAATGGTAGAAGAGACATTTTTAATATCTTTCCACTTGCAAAACGAGAGCGATTCGAAATATAGAAATCCTTATAGTCGCGCGTTCGTACTGTTGCTTGATTTGAATTATTGACAAAAGCGCGCCGGACCGTCGTATTTATACTCTTGTCGCCATCTAGCGGCGAGTAGTTTCTAGAAACGTCACGACAGGTCGTTGGCAGATGTTTCTATAGAAACATTCTGGATATTTGCCGGCCGGCGAGACTTGTTTACGTTACATAACACTGTTAATAACATTGTTTTGTTATTTTTAATGTATAGAATATATCATAGGTAAACAAATAAAGCTTGATTGTAGAAATATATAAGAAATAACTGTGCAGTTTCGAGTATTTTCTGCCAGAGAACTGTTAATTAAAATATTCATATTTTATTTTATTGCCACTAATAGGTGATTAAAACAAAAAATAATATTCAACTTTAATTAATATAGATAATATTCGACATTGGCAAGATAAGAACACAAATATACCTTTTTAAAAGGTTAACAATCTGTTTGAAAATAAATGCTTATTAATTGTCGCGTAATAATAATAACGTAATAATTATATTAAAATGGAATAAAAAAGTGTCCTTCATTTGGCCCAAAAAGACCAAGTTCGATTAAATTGTATATACCTAACGTCATATTTAAATTATGTACATATATAAACTATATGATTAATATTATATTAAACAATTTATATGTATCGGCTTAAAAGTAACGTAAAACTTTGAATGTACAGAAAGAAAACAACCGAAAAATCTAGAAATTTATAACATCGAATTCCAAATGATGAGTAACGAACAGAAAATCATCGTAAACACAGATAAATAAATATTGTAAAGATATGTATGTATGTAGTGATTCTGTTATCTAATCAAAGAAATGCTAAAACAATAATATTATACTTTGTTTATTTTTTGTTTCGAACAATTTGTCAAATTAAGTAAAGAAATTGTTTTAATTTTCAATCTTGTTCCCTTTACTGTAATATAATCTAACATTATTATCTTATTATGAAGCATATTTGATTTTTAATTGCTATGTGTTTTATAGAGTAAGTTAATTAAGAAAAATAATACAATTGACCTTGGCCGACCTACCACAACGTCTATGTTCGAGAAATTTCTAGTTGAGTCGCCGTTTGTTCAGACACGAAAGTCAATGACTTTGTCCTGTCAGGGGTTAGGAACCTTCTGGATGTTTCATTTATAATCCTCAACATTTTTATTTTGTATATTAGTTACTTTTTAATGATTCTATTAATTTAAACTCAATAAATTGTCGATACAAAGCAAAATATTTATATATAGTACTTGGCTAATTAATAGATATTGCTAATAAATTGTACCAGTTCAGACAATTTTTTTTTGTTTTGACTATTTTTATATGTTTTTAATTGTTTCCATATTTTAATAATACTTTTTAAAATTTTGAGGACGTAAACAATACTGAGTAGTGATACAAAAAATTAAAAAATGCTTAACCATAATGTAAAGTACATCTGAAGTTGAATGCCGTTCTGGAATAATCTACTCTACACTAGATGGCGCTGTGGCGTAAAGTATAAAAATGGGTGGAGAACTTCACAGGTATCATTGTACTGTTTGCAACTAAGCGTAGCGAATCTCTTGTGTGCTCGTATTACTTTCGCTTATAGTATTTAAGAAGCAATTATTCGTCAACCATGTCACTAATTCCATATCTGTTCGACGATTTTCCATTCGGACGACCTCGTCGATTACTGGATCAGCATTTCGGTTTGGGATTGACTCCTGATGATCTACTGACCGTTGCCGCTGGACCTCTCGCTTCTCGTGAATACTACCGACCGTGGCGACACCTTGCGGCTGCAGCGCGCGATCTGGGCTCTAGTATTAAATCCGATCCAAATAACTTCCAAATCAGCCTCGACGTCCAACATTTCTCACCGGATGAGATCAGTGTAAAAACCGCCGACGGTTTCGTCGTAATTGAAGGTAAACATGAAGAGAAACAGGACCAACACGGCTACGTTTCCCGCCATTTTGTAAGAAGATACGCCCTTCCAGAAGGTTCGTTACCTGAAACTGTGGAATCCAAGCTATCTTCTGATGGAGTACTAACCATTACGGCTCCAAGGAAGGTTCCAGATGCTATTAAGGGTGAGCGTAAAGTTCCTATAACCCAAACCGGACCCGTCAGGAAGGATATAAAAGATCAAAGCGAAGGAACAAATGATAAAGCCCAGTGAAGTGTATTGTGTAGTATTTTCTCAATTGTGTTGCATTCCTAGTGTTGGCATTGCCATAAGACTGATTTGTTTTTAAATTGCGTTTTGCTTTAATATTATTTTATAGGTATTCCTTAAACTTACTTTTTAATAAAATTAATTTCAAATTATGTGTGTTTTATTGTTGTCTCTTAAAATGGCCGATAATATTTTTGGAGAAATGTGTATAATTAATGAAATATGATATTTAAATATTTTACTTTCATATTATTAATCGATTCAACCCTCCTTTTTAAATATTTAACAAAGTTATTTGGCATCCGCTTAATTTACTTTGTCATTATTAATTTATGGACAATTGATATAAAATAAAATTGAAACCAAATGAAGTTAAAACAATAGATGATATTTCCTAAAAGAGATCTTTGCTTGATACCGATAGTTTAAAAAAAATAACTTAAAGAGAAAATACAATATTTAAAAAAAATAAAATGCATGCTTTTGAATATAATAAGCAATAAAATATGAAAAATTCATATCTGTTTTTTAAATATTTATTACACATTAGTGTATAATGATTAATTCTTATCGTTTTTTTTATTTACATATAATTGCTTACTCAACATAATTGTTTATTTTTTTGTATCGATGCACAGCCAAATTTTCATATTACCTATATTTCGATATAATATATTCGGGTACTTACTTCAAAATTACTAATTAATCCTCCCAATTAACTAGAAAGTAATTAGGTACATATAAATGATGTGCAATTAGAAGAACCACGTTATACATTGGCAGTGAATAATATTATATAAATAAACTAGCTTCTGCCGCGACTCCGTCCGCGTGGAATAGTGACTTCCGGCAGATTTTTGGTTCTTTCCACATAGTTCGAATCGAATGGTCGAGTTCCCGTAGAATTTTCAGGATAGAACCTATGTTTTTTTTTATTCACAATGAAGTACTCTTAACTAACAACATATTTATTTGTTTATTTGAATAAAGATTAATATTATTATGTTGATACAGCTTTAACAAATTATTTCGACCAAATTAGGTACCATAAAAACGGTTTTTGTGAGTTAATCTTAAAAGATAGACATATACTGTCCAGAACTGTTTTTTAGATCATTAAAAGAGCTATTATTCTTTAGTACATATTTTTTGTGTATCTTGAACCGTTTTCACGGCGCACGCAACGGAAGGCTTCAAAGATGAAATAATTTCTCCCGTTTTTTGCACATTTACCACTATATCATTGCTCCTATTGGTCGTAGCGTGATGTTATATAACCCACAGCCTTCCTCGATAACTGGACTATCCAACAAAAAAAGAATTATTCAATTCGAACCAGTAGTTTCGGAGATTAGCGCTTTCAAACAAACAAACAAACAAACAAACAAACAAACAAACAAACAAACAAACTCTTCAGCTTTATAATATTAGTATAGATAAATAAAAAGACCTGCTTCTATTTATTGTATACAAAGGTTAAGCAATTGATTTATTTAATTATTTTTAATTAAATTTATTATGTTCGAGAATGCACTTATAAAATGACTAAACCTGAGGAACTTATGTTCTAATTGCAAAAAGATTGCATTCTTTGATAAGTAATAAATGTGATAATGTTTAGACTTAAAGTTGGTATGGAATCGCTTTGGTTGTAATAATATTTTTTATACTAAATCGTTAGGTTATTTAATAATAAAAAAAACTTTAAATCCTTGCAGATAATTATCCAGTATTGTTGTCGTAATACAAAAATATTTAGCAGTCATAATAAATTGTTTTATAACAAACATTATGGAGGTTTGAAAAAAATATTATAGGGAAATTTGTGATATAAAAACTATACATCCTTACATTTATGCAGTAATCGCTAAATTACCGATGTCTTAAAAGTCGTGAATCCGTAAATAGATTATGAGGTCGGGTCAGGGACGGATTTTGAAGGTTGTGGCTTATGATAATTATCGAGTGAGACCTAGTAAATGGAATAGAGGTTTACATAATGAACCATAATTACGGAAAATTCAAATGTAGCATTATAGTCAAACAAAATTTAATTAATATGTTACATTTAAAATTTTATCAAGCAATGAAAGGTATATAAAGAAATAAGTATAATATAAATTTGACAGTTGATTACGTCACGTTGTACTTACTTCATTAATGAATTACATTTTCTAAGATTACAAACTTTTTATAATCTCCCTATAATTTTTTTATTTGTGAAAATCTCAAGACTATAGTTATGTATAGTAAAGTTACGTAGTTACATAAAAATAAATTGAATTAAAATAAGATATTTAAATTCACTTTATTTTTTACATTTCAATGTTTCGGGCTAATTGTTTCAAATCCTTTATATTTAAGAAGTTGTTATATTGTTTGGTTGTCCAGTTAATATATTTAGAACAAAACTCTTAAATATGTATTTGAAGAGAGTTTCTATTTCATATTTAAATATATAATTTGTGCTTAATCTTTGTTCCTATCTTAATGTGGCTCGTCAATTTAAATTGATACGTTCTTAAAATTAGATAAAGCTTGTTTAAGATGGAGGAACATATTTGGGATACTTTTATTTCTTTTCTTAAAGATCTAATAATTCTTATAAAGTTGTTTTATTGAGCATTGATTTTAAAGGTAGGAAATATTGGAAACAAATCAATATGTAATTTTGCCAATTAGTTTGAAGTCATTATTTGGTTATTTCCTTATGCCCATAGAAGTATCAATTATAATCCACTTTAAGAGGATAAATGTTAACCTATATGAAAATTATCGTAAAACACAGGTAGTTTCGTATAGGAAAATTCAAAACAAAACCACCTCTATTGTTAAAAATATTAGGGTTGTATATTGAATACATTTTTAAAATTATCCTAGGAATTCTCATAGAAATTTATATACGATAATATACGTCGGTATATAGTGAAATAAAACTACATAATTATATGAATATCTTTATTTGCTACAACAAAAGTGTTAGAACCTTGTAGGTAGTGTTAAACAATATACGATGTGATTTTATAAAACAGTATATTAGAAGCTCTGTTACTGCATATCACTACTGTGCTGTTTCACAATCGCTTCAATATTGGCTTGGAAACCTAACACATAAATACAATAACGACATCTATTTTGTACCGGTTCATGTTTTTTCCAAACCGATATTAAATACCTACAGTATTAACGTATTGCTATACATTGAGTCTACACGTTCTCGCACATAGATAAACGAACACACAACAGAAGCACTAAAACAATTATTTAAAATAATGTCCATATAATTTGTGTAGTAATAAGAAAATTAAAAATATAACGTCTTATTTTTACATAGACTAATTACATATAGTGCCAGTGATTTATAATCTGTGAATCTTATAAGTCGTACTGTTAAAGTATAACCGTGCAGTGCTCTGTGTAAATAATTTTATTTTAAATTAAATATTCAGTTTTTTTTTTATTTCAGTTATAAACGAGTTATATCTATATTATTCACATGGAAGGCAGGAGGCGTGCGGTTTATTGAAAAAAATTCATTCAAATATAATCTCAATAAATATCTTAGTACATATATTGTATAAAAATCAAGTATATAACTAAAGAGAAACATTTAATTTTTTAGAAACATTTTACCTATCTTTTTAAATAAGTATATATCTACTTCTATGTTCTAAGTTACGCCATTTTCTTTTGCAACATCTAATGCTAGAAATATAAGTATAAAATTGAGCTTTATTGATATGTTTCGTTTCATTCACTTTGATATTACATCAAACAGTGATTTTCACAGATAATTAGAACAAAATTATTATGAAGAATAAGTATAAATAAAAATAATAATGACATATGTCATAATTACTTAATTAATGACATTTACTGTGACTGAAAGTCATTCAGCCAAGCTGTCAAAAAAGTTTTTAATCTATACTCAAATGAGTGCTATATAAACAATTTTCAGTTGCAATAAATATTTATGACCGTAGTATATAAATATTAAGAATAAAATCGTGATATATAGAAACAATTAACAAGATACATTAAGGCATAATTCATATTGACCTAATGATTACTAATATAAATAGATAAATAATATATAATTTCATAGTTAATAAAAATTAATATTTATATAGTTTTGTTTCTTTAGATTTTGACAACTTAAGTAATAAAATTCCAATACTTTTATAACGACAAAACGGACATAATTCAAAATTTTCATCTAGTAATCAATCAAAGTTATAATATTTTTTTAAATATAACAAATAAAATAACGGCTTATACATATATGAAAGTGGTATAAGGAAAATACATATAGAAAATAGAATGGAAAGCAGTTCCAACAAAGCAAACAGCTAAGCTAAACGCTATACAAAGATTTTGTACATTGATTATAGAATTCGTCTAAGTCCACTAATTCAAGTAGAACACAAGACAGGTCTACTTCAAATTAAAGCTTCTTTCATTACCATAGAAACCATTACCCTCGATAATGTTGATAATTGCCTAAGTGTCTACTTATATCTAAAACATTTGACTAAGATGTATAATGTGTAGTTTATGGAGATTTTTGTAGTATAGACTCAATTTGTTTGATTAATTAGTTTGTAACAGGAGTTTTTGTAGGCTTTTGAATGGTGAACAGTCATAATAAGGACTGAAAAATGATATAAGGCTTAATATAATTGGTAGAGAGCATCATTGGCTTTCGGTAATATTGTTAATACATTGAAACAGTTATTTCCTTCTTGCGTCATCAGTAAATTCAAATATTACTTTCATTCTATTAACCACAATTAAAATCTTATTTGGATTTTTTTTACCTGTTTGTAAACCTATAAATAAATTAATTATTTGGTTAAAAAATAACATGGTAGTGAAAATATTTTCAATAGTTCTTCGTGTTTAATATCTATCTGATAATTTAAATTTACTTCATCAAAATATTAACGAATATTATTGAATACTGATTGTTGTTATTACACATCATACATCTTTGTCTATATTTATGTCCTAATCGTGCATTCACATTGATTATAACTTCTACTTACATTTAACTAACAGAAAGGCTTTCCCTACAACAGACTACCTCCTAACTACGAAATCCAATTTTATTGTAAACAAAACACGAAAATACAGAAGAATCACTGTTTATATACAAAAAAATATACGTGGATTACTGAATTATCGGAAAATATTAAGTATTAATACTAATAAATAGAATAAAGATACACTAAGAAATTATTATAACAGTGTAAAGGGTACAGTTATTTACAAAAAACCCAGCCTTAAGATCGACCTACAAGCACCAGTTCTAAGTCGAAAAATAAAACGAAACACTTAACTATGATATGTCCAGTTAACATGTCAGTCTTCAAACTACTTCTAGATCAGTCCTAAGCTAACGGATATTGAAATCCCATAAGAAGAGGACGCGATATTACCATAAAAGAATTCACTAGAAGCATCTCCGTCATAATAAATACGAATACGTAATACACAACACTAGAAAAATATTTAGTTACGTTTGCATTAGCAATAATATCATATAAATTATAATATATTGTATTCACAGCTGAGATATGTTCTGTTACTTTATATATTATACCTACACTTAATTCAGCTTCATCCGTGTATTTGATATGTGCGTATTCTAAAGCGAGTGCGTGGTGCGGTTTTACATTAATAAATACATCACATTTTGTTATAAATAAAATATATTCTATGATATAAATCTGACGAGGAACGTTATGAGATGAAAGGGACGTCTGTTGAGATAAATTCGTTAGGGAATTGATTATTCCGGTAATGGTGATGATTACTGAAGTGACGTCACTCAGGTTGTAGATGATGGTGATGAGGCAGATGATGATGTAGATGATGATGTCCGGCCTGTTGGTGGATATCGCGGAGCTGGGAGGCGTTGGATAAACGACGTCGACCTCCGCTATCTTGAAGATTGAGAGGAGGAGGTGGGAGGAAATATCCTCGTGTTGTGAATTGATGCGAGCCTTCACTACTTTCAACACGTCTATGCAGGCCTCCTAGAAGATAAACAAGGTTATGTCTTAGTAAACAAATAATAATAAAAGTGACTTCATCTTATAGTAGTTTTTGCAAGTGACTTCGTCCGCGTTAATTTGGGATTAGTAATATATGTATAGCTGACCGGGCGAATTTTCATTTCGCACTAGAGGCTATAAATAACCAGATATTGGAATTTATTAAGTTTTTTTTCTTTTTCGATCAAAGAGAATTAATTACCCTATGTAAGTGACGTAGTTTAAGAACCACGATATGTATACAAGTCACTGTATACTCAACCACGGTTGTTACGAGTCTCGTGTTTGGGGATAAGAAATATAATTATTTACGTCAAATAACATATTATTTTCATTCCTTAGAATATACATTAGAAGACTATTAATTGATCAATAACTTATATGCAGTGGCGTGCACACCATAGATACAAATAAGCACTGGTTTTAGAACCATGCTATCTCTCCACCAATTTTCAATCATATCCCACCAGCCGTTCTTGAGTTATAATTTGTGTAACTAACAAAACTTACTTATATATATAAATCTGTTGAAACGCGAACTTTGACTAATTTTAATAGCTTCCTTAAAATTATTGAGAATACTTTATGATTTTTGTTTATGTAATAAATTATTGGTAGTGTGCCAATAAGTATTTTTCCTCCCATGTATATATATACTTTGAACCTTTAAAGTTAAAGAGTATTTTGTTTACCTTCTCTCTATCTAGCAGAGCTTCCCCGGCTTCCTTGAGAGCCTCTTGTTCTTTTTGTGGTAGACTAGCAGAGATGATGACGTTCTCATTGCTTATGTTGAACAGAGTCAGGGTGCAATTAGTCTGAAATATATTAAAGTGACGTTTAATTGATATAAAGAACATTTTTATCATACATTTTTCATCCTATCTAAATATCAGAAATATTTAAATAATAATAAAGAAAATCAATGTTGTAGACGCTAAAATGTTGATCATTTTGTTGTTAGATGATATATTAGATCATGAAAGAAGAATATGGGTTTTTCTTGCAAGGCAAATTATTTTATAGCTATATTCCAATCTGATATTACATTTTTTGTTAATACCAAGATGTTAAAATACTTTCAGAATTTTATATTATAGCAAATATTATTTAGCCGAATTTACTAACATAAATAGCAAGAAAAGACAATCATTACCTCTCCATGATGCGCGACCCTGAGGTATCTTTGAAGCAACCTCACAGCATCTTCAGCTCCGAGCCCTGTGTGAGGTCTTAGTAAAGCCTCGTCCACGGCACTGAACCCCAACAAGAGGTAGACGCCTTCAGGCAACTTGTATTCACCTAGAATGGGAAGGTTACATACAGTTAGTGAGGGTAGTTTGAAAAAGATGGTATACATATTGAACTATAAACTGTATAAGCTTTATAAGAAATATTTTAATAGCCTATAACATTATAGTCTTTTTGAGTATTTATATATATTTAATATAGGTAATGTATTACTTTATTGCGACACAGGTTTTTTTTCTTTGACAAAATCTCACTCATGTTTTATTATATTGTATTCTAATTATTGTTATTTATATTATCTAACAAATGTAACTGCTTTCAAGTGTACGTAGACATGTGTCTTCACTTACCAGGATTAGGCCTCATACAGATGAACGATCCAGAGTAACAATAGCATCGTCCTCGGTAAGCTTGGTAGGCGGGCGCTGCGTGTGAGTAGTGAGCGAGACGCGAGGAGCACGGCGCTCGTGGTACACAGGCGACCTTACAGGAAACCTGCAACGATGACTCACAGACGCACAGGTCTGTGCACTCCGCTAGCTCCGCGGACCTGTACAGCTGGAATAAGGATTTGTTCAATATTATTTAAAACCATTTATTTTGCGACACACATACATTACATAGATTATACAGATTTTTTTTTATGTGAAAGGTGGCAAACGAGCAGACGGCCCACTTGATGGAAGGTGGTTTCCGCCGCCCATGGACATCCGCAACATATCTGTTACGGATGCTTTGCCAACCTTGTTTTTTACGGATAGGGAGGGGTGGGAATAAAGGAATGGTAGGAAAGGGTAGGAATAGGGATAGGGCAACCGGCTCTCTCACTCATCGGACGAAACGCAGCCATTAAAGGCTACTTCACGCCGATCTTCAAAATACAGAAGATACAAAGGAAAATAATTAAATTCAAGATACAGAAGAAAATAATTAAATTTAAAGAAAACAGTGTAACAGCAAGGAGTTCATCTCAGTATAAGCTGTGTTTTTCAGATGGCCCCTGACTATTGGGTAAACATCACAATTATATATAATTTTAATTTTTTTGGTTTGTTCAGTACATAGGAACGTTGTATCCCAGTATCGGGTTTTTTAATCGGAATTTATGTAAAAAAAATCTGTATTATATATGATTTTTTGTATTGTTAAGTATAGTATGAAGAAACGTTACGTGTTTTAGTATGCAATATTAACTTGTTCAGTATTATTTGGTATTTTTTGTGTTCAGTATATAGGAACGTAGTGTTCTAGTGTCGGGTTTTATTATGATCGAAATATAAATTTGAATGGATTATTTTATATCGTTGATTAAAAAATAACATCGAGCTCTGTTAAATTTGAATAAATCAGGGAAAAAAAAATATAAAATCGTAAAATGGAATCATATTAGAGACGATTTCGGGCAAAGATTGCATTTCCTTTACATATTATGTTGATAATAAAATTTAAATCTATAAATTTTATACCCAATAGACACTTACACGTCTTGTTTCTCCCATTTTAATGTATTGTGCCTGATCATCACTCTCTGGCTTTTTAACAATGCAATATTTCGTCGGTTCCATTGTGGTGGTCGGACGTGGCGTGGTCGTGGTAGTCGTGGTCGTGGTCGTTGTGGTCGGAGCCGTGGTTGTGGTCGTCGTCGTGGTGGTCATTGTTGTGGTTTCAACAGTTGTCACAATGATTGCTTCCAGTTCTGCGTCACTATGGATCTTTTGTTCAGACATTGTTGTGATTGGAGGTTGTTCTTGGCGATTCTCCTATAAATACAAAAAAAATACGTTAAAAGACGACACCAAAAAAAATACGTTAAAAGATGGTTTATATGTTAAGTAGTTTATAGTGTAATAGGAATACGATTAGGAGTTATAGAATTTAGGACATGTAGAAAGGGGAATTAGGGCCACTCAATCTCTCATTGAAAAGTATTGACTATTAAATAAGCCAAAGTAAAAACACCAGTCATGCCCTTGATTTTCATGCAGTACATATTGTATTGCATATTTGCTGTATTAGTTTCATATTAGCTCTTAAATATCCAAAAAAATAGTGTTTTGAAAAGACAACAGAAAAAATTTAATAGCTTTGAAAGCACTCTTTCATAACCACAAAAAAAAAAACGCTTTTAAGGGACTATGGATTAGAAAAGGAAATAAAAAAATCTAGAACTGTTAATATAGCTCAATTAAACCAAGTCCATTAGTATATTTTTATTCTAACCTGCATAACATCAACTTGCGAAGTGCCATGTTGAGTTGTATGTTTGTGGTGGTGTGAGGTCGTATGATGATGAACTGCGGGCTCTGGTGGTACCGTCATGTATCTGACGCCGTTGTCGAATGGAGTAGTTGTGTGCAGGGCTCCGTAGGTCTTGACATGGTAATCGCTTTGAGATTCAACTAGAAATGATACAAGAAAACGGTTATAATTTTAATTATTCAAAATCTAAATGGGTTTTATTAAGTCCAAAATGTATTTTTAAAATAACTACGATAAGAATTTTGTTTATCTCTTCGAAGGCAAGGGTTAATTTTGAGTTGATATACTTAAGCATTTTAGTAAATAATTGTTATTTTTATTGTTCAATAATTTTAGTTATAAGTAACAAATATATCCAAGTAAGATATCTCCATTTACGATGTAAATATTTGGCTCAATACAAAATATTACTTTGTCATTCGTGAACTTGAGGTACTAAACTTCTTGTAGGACAATTATTTTGCAACAAAATATGATTATTAATCTAGACTATATACATATTTAAACTTAAAAGTAATATATTTATCATATATTATCCAAGCGTAGTTTAATTAAAGCAAATATTAATTTTGTTAACCGACTGCCTCATACTTAACGGCTTTGAATTTGTCTAACAATTGGACAAGTATTGCTATGATGTAAACTTATATATGAAATCTGTATATCATTAAGAAATAACAAAATTAAGAAATTAAATTAGGTTTGTCGTCAATCAAAATTAATAATAATAGTAATTTATACTTACCAACACATGGATTGAGCCATAACAATCGCTGCCATCCAAGGCAATCGTATAGCTGAGCGAAATCCGTTCCTCTGCAAGCGCAGGCAGCTCTCAGCTGAGTACCAAGAACAGCTACAACAGCAGCTCGACAAGCTGCTGGGGATCCAGCACAGCCTTGCGTTACAGCATCCACAGCACACCATTGCTCGTAGTTTTCCAGGCGGATTCTTTAATCATTAAGAAATATTTGGAGGTAGATGATAAATAAGACCAACTGACAGATATTATTAACTCGTCTGTCCGTGATCACGGTAGAATAGTAATCGAAACGTCGGAAGTATGTAGATTAAAATAATAAAATATCGCGTAGTAATTGGAAAATATTAGTTTCATTAAAATGAATACTGAATAAAGTCTTAGTTCTCTCAATACTGCTAGTGTTTTTCATAATAATTGTTACAATATTTAAGCAATTTCAATATATAGATCACAGAAAAAGGTACTTAAATTATAAAGAGTCTGAGACTAAATATCACGATTGGTATCTTGGTAAAATTTTGGAACTTTCACCTGCTTGTGGCAATTAATTTTATTGGAATTTTAGTTTGTTAGAAGTTTTAAAGATAAATCTTAATATTCTATGCGAAATAGGAAATAATAATTTAAACATTACTTAACTTCTGAGTTTTATTCTTTAAAGCTAGTAAAAAAGTACAGTACCTTTATCATAAAGTTGCATAGCCAACCTACATAAGGAAAGTTTCCAAGCTTCATATATTGATTAATTTTCACGCCATGTTAGGATCTGTATTTATTTGGTCATAGGACCCTGGGTTCGGTAAATTTAAATGATCATATGTATCTGATCGGAATGATGATATACATATATATATATACTAGTTATTGCCCGCGACTCCGTCCGCGTGATAATCAATATTGGGTTCAGTGAGCAATGTATAAAGTGTGTTAAAATAATGCATATAGTACCTACTCTACGTTCTAACCTCTTTTTAATGAACTTATATACTGACTGTAGCGCCACCTGCCGGGCTTATTTGTGAATCTTAAGCATCCGTGGGGCTACCCAAATACATACAAAGATCATTTAAATCAGTCCAGCCATTTAAGAGTTCAATGATATGTACGAGTACAGTATTAATATATGTATTATTAATATATGTATAAAGATTTATCACAAAATAACCGTTACATTCTAAAAGCATTAAGAGTTGTGGTTTTGTTAATCAGGGTACAAAATGTATATATATTACTTCTAAATCGATTGAACGTAAGTACTTCTATTACATAAGTAAAGAATATATTATGTATAATAATGTATAGTAGTATTTGGGTAAAGAAACTCTTTGCCATACTGGATTTTAACGTCAAAAGTTCTATCGATTTTCAAAATTACTTTAACAGTGAGGGTAAGAAGTAAGGTTATAAAAATAGACATAATAATTAAATAATATCATGAAACAGTTATAAATATATGAGATAAAGTAATATAGATTAAATATATAAATGAACTAAAACGGTTTCATTGCGGTCAGCTGTAAATTGATTGGTTGAGCAGTGAATTCGCTTTATCAGTGAAAATTCGCTCACTTCAATTTGTTCGACGTCCGACAATTAATATGTATAGACAGTTAAAACAGGCATGGCTTATTTTTAACGGACCAAAAAAGCCATCGTGTTTTTCAACGCTAACTATTTATATAGATCCAAAATTATCAATCAAATACTTTTTTAGTTTTTGCCTAACTTAATAACAAAATCACACATTCAATCTTTCATATTTTCTTAGAAAAGATTTGCTACAGTCCCAAAATAGTCCTTTATAGCTTCGTTTTAAAAAACCAATATTATATGAATTAATCTGAGTTATTATAAACATATCAACTTTTGATCACAATTATGTTTTCTTTATATTATGAAAGAGAACTGCAAAAGGTTACTACAGTCATATATAAATGTATAAACTGTAATCATTCATTAGTTAGTGCATATGTTATAAACACGTTTACGACAAATAATAAAAACTAAATAAAAAAAGCACTTTTATTACACCTAATAACTGATTGCTACTAGTTTCTTTCTATGGCGACGTTGGTAAATGAATCATTATCGAGAACTAGTATTACGAATATGTACTTCAGCCTATGTTTTATGTAGAAAATAAACGATAACAATATACTTGTAATAACTCAGATATTATCAAAGAATTTTAGTGCCATGTAACAACCACATACTTATACTAAATTAAGACACAATAAACATGTTTAAAGAGAAATTTCAGAATTAAAATGAGACAAATTATTATTATTATTGTTAACAAGTTGAGTAGGTTTTTTTAGGTGGTAGAGCCTAGCTGTGGTTAGTTACTACAGCTCGAACATGGGCTGGCTCGACCGGGGAAGTACCACCCTCTCACAGAAGATCGGCGTGAAGTAGCCTTTAATGGCTGCGTTTCGTCCGATGAGTGAGAGAGCCGGTTGCCCTTTCCCTATTCCCACCCTTTCCTACAATATCCTTATTCCCACCCCTCCCTATCCCTATAAAACAAGGTTGGCAACGCATCCGCAACATCTTTGTTGCGGATGTCAATGGGCGACGGTAACCACCTTCCATCAAGTGGGCCGTCTGCTCGTTTGCCACCTTTAACATAAAAAAAAAGAGTAAAGAATAATCTATCAGATGATACAAAAACTATTTAATATTTTAACTACAATTTTTACTACGTAATACATTATTTTAATAAAAATTCGAAAAGGCTATATATTTTCTCAATTGTTACAACGCTTTTATGGTTGGTAAGACGAGACTAAAATTGCTTATGGTCTTAGACAAGCAGACATCTTCAGAATAATTTAGTCGAAGCTATGCCAATATTTCTAATCAGTTCCAAAAGTTATGTCTAGTCTATGTAAACTAGATTTAAACTGGTGATGAGATTAGCAATTTGTACTGTATTGATTTTACGGTACACTAGCCTCTGAAATTTGGATTAGGTTTCTGTTGGGATATTCAAAATAATTACTAATTTATTTTTTATATTCTCATCTTCTTCTACCTGGCAATTTCCCGGCTTTAGCCAGGATCTGCCTTACATATAGTGTTTGGCTATTTGTTTCTACGACCGGCCGCCTGCCTGACATCAACCCTCTTTTGGGAATCAACATTAATCAGTGATGTCTAAATACTCTTAAAAAGTACATATGATTAGGAAAAATCACATTGGTACTTGCCCGGGCCAGGATCGAACCCGCGCCCTCGGCGACGAGAAGCAGAGAGGCGGGCCCTTTAACCACTGAGCCACCACTGACTTATTTTTTATATTCTTACTTATATTTAAGAATAGTATTTGCATTTAAAAAAATACTAGACTGTCCGTCATATTATTTAGTTTTAGAACCAAGAGCTATTGATTTTAGACATTGCTATATTCTGTTATTTATACAACTTGTTCCATTTTTTTTCAAGTATTTTTGTTTAATAAAACGTTTTTTTAGATGACCTAAAAATGATTTCAAAACTGAGCAATAATATACTGTCCAGGACGAAAAGGCTTATATTTCTTATATAAAAATAGACGTCGTCGAGAGATTTATAACAATTATAAGCCGTTCTATAAATAAATACAAAGTTTATTAATCGTGATATCAATTTTGACGTTATTCATTAGAGTATAATGAAGATTTGGTTACATATTTTGAGTAAAACCAAGCCTGTCACCTGGCCCAAAAAACAAGTAATACTTTTTCTAACGAGATAATTTTAACAAACTACAATACGGCAAATTCCCAATCATGTTTTAAGCAATCATTTATTTTGGAACGAAGATTACACAATCCTATAAAAGTCAATACAAATACACGTACAAAAACTACGAAACATTATCAAATCACATAAACTTAAAACGTTATACGAACATTCTACTTGTAATTACATTAGCTGAAAGCGCTTCGCAAATTTGAAGTATGCCCTTACTTTAATTATTTGTAAATACGGCATACATGTGTTACTTTAGCATTTTATTTAAATTGCGGCCGTGTTGTAAGTAAACAGGGTTGATTATTCAATACCAACGTACATAGCCATCGGCTAATTGAACTTTTCGGTAAAGGCTCTGATGAAAAACAAGAATATCAGCTATGTTTGTTTTCACATACGTTTTAACGTTTCATTTATCGCTCATCAGCGTTTTATTCACATTGTATCGGAATTACGTAACTTTAAATTATAATTCATTAAATTCAAATGAATTGATGCTATTTTTAATATTAACATAATTAATTTGATAGAAATATACATAAACGTATACTGTATTTGGAAAAGAAAGTACAGCTTAAATGCTATATTAAATTCGACAAAATTTTTCAAATAGTTTAATAAAGCGGAAAGCTATTATTAATTTTTAGGTAAAAAATAAAGAGAGTTTGATCATTTAGAATAGTAGTGAAATAGAAGGACAATTTTAGGTATGTGTATTTCATTTATTTAGTATTATAAAAGGTAAAATATATATGTATATATAGTATATTGATTGTTTGTTTAGCAAACAGATGACCGACTGTATATTTTATATTTTCCTCACGCTTCAACAGCGGTTGTTTAAAAAAACCGTTTTATGTAAGCGTGAAATATAAAAAAATCAAACAGTAAATAAATATCGTCATTTTTATCTACATTTAGTATATAAAAGATAAAAAACTAGGTCATTTATACGTTTGATTTATTGCCTCTACGATCTCTAGGTATTTACTGTTTCAATGCAGACGGTCACTCGCTTACAGTCGTTTTCATTCAATTTAGGCCCAATTTTGCTGCCGGCACTCAGTATTCAATACGATAAAGTTGTATGCACATTTGTAGAAAATATCGATATTTTAGTGATTAACTAGATATTCCCTATACTGTCTCGATTTTATTCTTGACTTACTTTAATAAATTAAAATTAAAAAAATGCATCATTCTCAGAATTTTCTTCATCTTATTAGGAAGGTCTTTAAATTATGTACTTTAAAAAAAGCTACAAATAAAAAGATATAAATAAAATTTACAGTATATCCTGAGTATTTTATGGCCATAATAAAATACATTTGTCCATCTATTTCACTCCAGTGTGTCCACAGCCTAACTTAGTTACGTTATACGTAGAATGTTCCTTTCCAATAACACTGTGAGAGCCATCGCAAATGTGATTGCATTTTGGGTTTCTTTGTGCTTTATTTGCTTTTACTTGTAGCTAACGAACGTAAAATTATTATTTATTCGTTTTATATAATACGAATGAAATTAAAAAGATTTTTGCGAAATAAAATTGCTCATATATATAATATTGAACATAAAATTAGCAAGCTTTATAATATTATGTCACCATTTCAAGCTGTTTTATGTAATGATGAATAAATAGATGTTGCTGTTTCAAAATTTGAATGTAATAATGAATGAAGTACACAATTACATTTATTAATTGAACTATATGTATGTATGTAATATATGAATGTATTGCAAATCACCTGCATTCGGGATCCTCTCGACAGGCGTGGGCCAGGGTATGGCAGGCGGGTAGTGGTGAACCTATAGCTGGTCGTTGTGCGCAAGATGGATGTAATCTCTCCTGGGCATTCATGCATGAATCTTCCTTGTTATCCGTTTTCCTAGAAGATATTCATTAAACTTTTACCATATTGAACTTTATACTTAAAATAGTGCAGTGTAGTAAATTTTGCAGTCGAAAAATATTTTTTTCCAAGTATCACTATTACTTCAATGTAAATCCATCCAGTTATTTCTATAAAAGGTAATAACAAAACACATTACGCTACCATGTAACAAATATACTCGAAAAAGATTTTTACTTAGTATGACTCACGATAATTCAACAGTATATAGGTATGCTCAGTAATATGAGCATTTAATACATTTTTACTTTTAATTATATACGAAATAAACCTACTTGCAGAGACAGAATGCGATTTCCGTGTTCCAATGTACACCAGGCTTCCTATAGAATCCTCGTAACGCTGACATACATCCCTCTCTATCGCAGTCGGTTGAGTGACATTTTTGAAGCACAGGCGTAAGTGATGTTACACAATCCGTATCCTTGATGCATGCGTCCAATGCAACGTGGCAGGTAGATTGTAGGGCCACCTTCTCATAACCTGCTTTACCGTTTTCTTTGCCAATCCTCTCTGTTGGTTTGTGTTGTATGTATGTATTTTTTTGTTTAGTTACTTAATATACTTAGCAAATAATCTTTAGACTATCTATGAGTTATAACGCGCTTATAATAGGAAATATCAGTAAGGCTATTTATAAGAATTGGATTAGTGGACACAAGATAATTATTATATGTATAACCTAAGTTTTATTTATAAGAATTTGTTTAACCGTCCCTAATGTTTAACTCCACCTGTGTATTGCAACCCCAATTTTATTAGATCTGACGACTAAAAGAAAGACATATTGTGTGTTGTATGTTATTTGTGTATTCATTTTATAATTATATATTTATTTTCATTAAAATAAACAAAAATATCAATAAGTCTGTGGATCACACTAATAACAAAAATAAATAAAAAGGTTTTTCTCATAAAAGTACGTCGATATAAATACTTTATAAACCATGCTTTAAATATGTGTAGATAAAATATATGATGTATTATTATAATTACAATATATAGATATATAATACGTGTGAAAAAATGTTTTCAAATCGTACATATCAAAACTCAAAGTTATGAGGACAGGTTATTTAACAAGCAATATAAGAAATACCATGCTTGGGATAAATGACAGACAAATATGATAAAACAATGTCTTTATCAGTATGGTAGACTGTGAATGTGATGTCTCTAGAGAGAACTTACCGTTCTTGGATCCCATTATAATATTAATCTTTCAAACCGGTGGTATCTGACAAATCGTGGTAGATAAATCTTTGGATTTTTAGCGTAAATTGCAAAGCTTCGCGGAGATTTACGTGTTTAAGCGCCTTTGGTAAATCGCTCCCTTTAAACTAATACTTCTACCTTACGGTGGATCAGGAAGAAAGCAGATTCCAAGATTTCTAAAGCGCTAAATTAAACCTCTCTAAGTGTGCTACGCAAAGCTTTACTCCTAATATGTCTCACTTAATCTTCAAAGTATTTATGTCTACTAGTCTAAGAAATCCGGTGTTGAAGGATCTACTAGTGTTTGAGGGATTAAAATGATCCAACCTCAGGGAATGAATGAATGAACTCTCAGGAAGTGCTATGATAAGGAATCCACCGTGTAAACAATGACGCGCGGGTTCGTCTAAAATGTACAGTTCTGAAGCTGAAGTGTCCATTACGATTTCTATGGTTAAGTTGTCTGTCTGGAGTGTACCTATTTGTATAAACCTATTAAATGGTATTTGTCAGCTAAAATTTTTCGTTTCACATCATCCGTTATCCTTGCTAATTGTCACTAAATTATTAAACGTCATACGTACGGTTTTCATCGATGTAGCCTGGTCCGTAGACTGTCTTGGTAGCGTATAGAGGATCTTCGCTCCCTCCTGGCTCATGATTCCAATGATGGTAATGATGCCCATGGGGCCTGTAGTGGGGGCTTGCATAACGGTGTACGTGTGTCATTAATTTGTCCGGAGTGATAAGGTTGCCGTCCTGAGTTATGGACATACCACCGATCCATGAAGTCACCGCCGTGGTGTTTCGATTTGCCGTCCGTCCGTCGGATATCAGCTTTACTGGAATGGCATCCGTATCACTTAGCTGTAGGAATCGACTACCGGTCCAAATCGCGAAGCTCTAGAGTAGAGGCGATCGCGCAGAACCGGACGATATAATAAAACCCTACTAATTTAAATACGACAAAAAACAGCGTTCGACATAAACGACATAACGGGCAAAATCAAAATTTGCGTAAGTTTTTTTTTTCATTTTGATAAATTTAGCAAAGCCTCCCGGGACGACGATTTCGCGGAACCATCGTCAAAGCCACTATGCCGCGCAGTAACCATAGAGATCGTACAAATAGAAGATGCAAAGAGAAAACATGCGATCATGCTCGAATTAAGGGTGAAATCCATTTCAGACTTTCAGAGCGGGCGACGCACCTAGACTCATTAGCGAAATGTCTAGTCTTCCCCGATTGCCCTATTGTAAGTCTGAAACGGTTTAAATAGAGTAGTAAAGGAAATAAGTAGAAAAAACATAAAAGCATGCAGACATAAAGTAGGAGCGATTCGTTATATCTATAAGAGGATTTGAGAGACGTTGGCCACAAGTGATGTTGTCAGTTATTAACTAATGGATGTAGTTTATGTAAACTAGATGATGAGGACGTGGTGGAGATATATGAAGATTAAATTAGAAAACTTTTGTGAATTTAAATACTAAGGTAACAAATAAGAGTAATCTAAAAAAATCTATGACGCCAAAAAGTTTCGTTGTTTATTTTTAAGGTAAGTTGTATACTAGACGTCGTACAGTCTAAGTTTGATGTGTAAGAACCTTTTGCTTCTCTAACGCTCCTACCTTACGAAGCATAGCGAAGCGTGCAGTGCGATAGGCGACGGAATCCGATAGACACATAGAGAGAGAGGTGCGGCAGCGGCTCACCGTGGCGGGGTCTAGGGGGGCGCGGGGAGAGTAGGGCAGCGCGGAGGAGACTGGCGGCAGCAGCACGAGTCATCAGCCTGGTGCCGTTCTCGGTGAGCAGCAGGATCGTACCGTCGGGAGCAGCATAGCGCGTGAGGGGTGGAGCCCGGGCAGCCGGCCGCTTCGGCTCGAACAGCGCCCGGACTGCCGGCGGACATTCACCCCAGGCTGCCGCTGCCCCACAACCACGTTACCAACAACCACTAACCGCCCCCGTGCCAAGCCGCTGATCGGAATACACTTAACGGATTTCATTTAAAAAAAAATTATGACCAATGCCATAATCCCTTAAGAGTATTCCATTGAAGACGAAGTAGACGTGACAGTAAGGTATTATACGCCGCCGAAATACTCTATAAGTAGCAGTCGCAGACCATCACCGAAGGCCGAAGGTGTGAAGCCAAGAGTTGAGGTAACTGCGGGCATTTGTACGGTGTGTGAGGTCAGGAGTACACTAAAAAGAAGCTCAGTGTCCGTGAAACATAAAGGTTTACAGCCTGGTGTGGTTAAGTAATGATCTAAGTTATTCCTAAGGCCTATGCATCTAACAGTGTTCAAATAAAATAGGCACGTAAATAAAATAAAAAGAACATATAAACAACCAAAAGTAATAACGTCAACTATTTTTTTAAGGAGTCTAGTACTCATTAAAGCGTTTTATATTGTGGAGTTGATTATTTTTGTTATTATATTATTTTCATTTAACGAGTTGGTTGTGAGTTAGATGTTGTAGAATTTACAGGTAAGATAAGGTAACATTCTAAATCTAAGTGTTTGTACTGTGTCAAGGCATGGTTGGGAGAAGTCATTGTATATTTTGTGTCCTTCTAAACATGACGTTCTTATGTGTTCAAAACACTTAAAGCTTAAAACAACACAGTTATATTGAGTTTTGAGTGAGAAATATATTTATAAAAGTATAAAAAAAATTTGTTTGAGTATAAATGGTTTGCATGAATCTTTTAATATGAAGACTTGTTTTGAAATCTTGTTTTTATCATTATGATTTATTACCCTCATTCATAGTGATTGAGATTCAATACTTTGTTTGCTCTGATAAGTGTTTTTTGTACTTAGCGCCTAAATTGGTATTTTTAGGGTATATTTTTTTCGATTAGCTTGGGCCGTCTATTTGAACAGCTGGGTTCTTTCTCACGTTAAAAAGCAAACGAAAACCTGACTTAATTTACTAAGAACAATAGCATTCAGGCATTGTTAGAAGTAATATAGTACACTATTTTGCTAGGTTATTGAATTTTTATTAGACTTAGAATAAGGTTGGTAATTTGAAATACTTTCAAGTAGAATGTTATGAAAGTAATTCTAAATAATAATAATAATACTCAAAGGTGAGTTTGTATTATGTATATATATGTTTATAAAATATAGTAACGCGACTATTGAGTGTTATTTTATTTGTCACAATAATTTCAATAACAATTTATTTGCACAGAATTCACTTCTTGTAACCGGGAAGAGGGAAAATGTATTACTACATATTATACGTATAGAAATATTGACAAAACGTCCTAACAACAAACGAATACTATTTGCTGATTCCAGGTGCGTTAACGGAATTGCGTTTCAAAATTCTATTAACATAATAGAAAGGTGAAACGGAAAAGTAGCGTCAAAAGCGAAAAGAAACGTTCAAAAAGATTTCCTTAGAACCGCAAAGTACCCTTGAATACAAAGGCAAGTGAATAGATTTCCTCCCCTTTGTTTCTTCACTGTATCGACTCTCGACTTAAATTAATATTCGATTGACGTATTTGGAAAAGAGTGTTGACCTTAAAGTGTAAAAAAATATAATTCTCATGAAATTTTAAACAAATAAGAATGAAATTTCTGTGAGTTATGTCGGAATATTTCAATTCTTCGTGAATTATTCTATGAGTACCTTGAAGTAAAAAAATATGTATGTATAATGACGCGATACTAAGAACGTGATATTTTTTAATATAAATATGTTTATATTTTTAAAGTTTTAATAACGAATACTAATGTGGTTTTCAGACATTTTGAAAGAAAAAGGTCAAGGCTTTCAGAGGTGATAGGTGTTGCGACACGCAACGATAGTGGGTTTGGCAAAACACTAACATCGAATGATATAAAAAGAAAATCTTATGCTTTAAAACCTTCAACAAACATTTCTATTTCGTATTAAAGGAGACTTTTTTTACTTCAATAATTTCTTCACATCATTGTGTATAAAACTCGATTATGTAAATCTTTTCTATTAATAAAATCATATAGAACTAGTAAGTAAGCATTTATATTTATAACATAAATAAATAAATACAATTGTGATTATGAGGTAATCATAATAAAGTAAGTATATATAAATAAAAGTATGTTTATGTATGTTGAATGTGTGTGTGAAAATCAATATATACATATATATATTCTGTCTATCCTTTTTTAAAATTATTTATTAAGCGGTAAATTTTAACTGGAATTTTCTGTTGGGAAGTGGTTGTGAAAAGAGCACATTTACATTTTTTCTCTTATTTATATTGTTTGTTCTAAGCGTAGCCAGCGTCCAAACATAAAAATGCCATTGTAAGCTATTACCAGTTGTGTATATAACCAAAATGGTAAATTTTATACGGAATCCTTTTCGGTTTAAGCAAGAAGTATTTTTAAATGATGGAGGTTGAACTGATGTTTAATAACTATTGATAATAATTATAGATTTATATAAAATAAGATTAAAGTTATCCATTGAGATATGTATATGGTGAAATTTAAATAATAATACTTTTTTGTATTACATATGTAATGAATAAGTTTATTAATATTTTTATTTCTATTAAATGAAAAATACATATGATAAATGTTTCTTTTATAGAGTACTAATGTATGGTTCAACAACTTGAAGGATTTAAAAAACTTAACGAATTTTAACAACTTAAATGTATTGCATAGGTTCTGTGATTTCGATGAATAATTTGAACCTCCTCACTATTCGATTGTCTTTTATTTTGTCCTGCTTATCTTATTATAAACTTTAAATAGTTTTAATAAGGTTTAATATTATATAAATTTGTATCTGTAGTAAATAAACCTTTTAGTTTCACGAAAGGTTTACATTTCTGTAAGCCGCGTAATAGGACATCGTTTCAAAAGTTTTTGTTTCTCTATTTATGTTTGTTTCGACTTAACTCTGAAACAACCAGACAGATTTTAACAGATTCAGCATAAGACAAAGTACGCTTCACATATTAAACAACTGAAATAAAGTTGCAAGAGCTATTATAACTACGCTTTCATACGAATAAGTACAAAATGTGTTATACAATAAACTTGTTACAGTTAAGTGGAGTGTGGAGTCATATCTTTAATGAAGTAGAAAATAATATTTTCGGATTTTTATTTTTGACTATAAACTACATACTGTAAAGTAACCGAAATGACGGGAGTATGTAGTTTATAGCAAAAAAATGCGTAGTAAATCCGAAAATATTAGATCTCATTAAGTAGAAAATACATATGTTAGTATATTGGAGTTATCATTTTGTAGGGAATCAAAGACATATTTCAAAGCCTATACTAGATAGTATATCTAAGAATACATTAAAGCTTAGCTTGTGTTAGTGTTTCAGTAACAGAATATTACATACTAATTATGTAGTGAGCAAACAAATGGATGAGTGCTTTAATTGGTTGTTTAGACATGTAAATTTCAGTTAATTAATTTAGCTTACGTTTTGATTTCTATGATAAGATATTATTTAGTTAACTGTTATAGAAATTAAATATAATATGTAATAATTGTTATATACTAACTGTTGAAGAAAAATATAAAATGAATACAAAATAATCTCAATAGCTGATAGTCAAATATATTTTTCGAATCGAGATTCGGCTAAGTGTCTTTATAATGTAAACAAATAAAAGACAATAACTTGTATTAATTTCAAGGGCCAGAACAATTTACCTATTTATCACCAAAACTTTCGTTTTTATAAATAAATTAATAGATAACAATCGTCGTTTTATAAAAAACAATTCATTATCTCACGGAGTTTAACGAGTTTAATTAAATGAAAACAAAAAGAACTTAAAGATCTCAAGCGTAGTGCTCATTTATAGTATAAATTATAAATATGCAGATTCAAATATTGTGATGACTGCAAAATATTTCGATTTTAGTATCAACTTACTAAGCACAGCGTCGCGACGTATCAACAAAATTCAAGTGGATAAAACTTTGTATACAGTGGACAGAATTGAAATTAAACATATACATATAAGAATATTTGATGCATTCGTGTGTTTAGAGTTTCTAGCAAAAAAATCAATACTAGCAAAGAATTGAGACCTCAATGGTTTTTCATTACCTTGATGTTGAATTAAAAAGACAATAAATGCCTTATTTTATCACGCTATTCTGATAAAACTTGAAAGTTTCGTGGGGACAAACAATTACACCCTCGCCATATACATTAATATATATTTAATCTCCTTACCAGCGAACATAGAAACAGATCCTTAACATTTATTAAACATGAATGCTATATATATTATGCAAACTCATGATACAATTACAAAAGGAAATTTCATCACAAACAGTTTGCATTGGAACAAGGAAGTTCGTTAGGGTTGAGTCTTTAAAAAACAAAAATAAAACAATATACATATCACAATCATATTATATTATAATACGCTGAATATTCTGCTCGGAACTTATATATTTTGTAAGCGAAATTATAAACCACTTGGTTAAACGCGGGAATACTTCTCATCCCATGGATAAAAACTCAATTTCTATTTAGTTACTCAGGAGAAAATTTCATCCGGACGTATCCTGGTATTATCCAGGGAAATTGGATTAATGACAACCCTAGGGTAGGGCTGACTTCGTTCATGGAAACGACAGTTTAAAGGAAAGTAATTTAATGCGGGTTTTAACCTGACTTGTGATGATTACTGGAATGGAAATTGTTTGGAATGGAATGCTCTTAGTGGAACTAACGAATATGCTTTCTTTTGTTTGAATATTGTTATAACTAGTGGTAGTAAAGTTTAAATTGCTTACGGAATCGTATAGGTTTAGACGAAAACTATGTTCTATAGAACAAAAACTTACTGTATAATTTATAATAATATCAGTACTTTAGGGTTTATGTGTATAAATTTAATCGAGTTATCATGTTAGTTGTATTGGTATCCTTTTTATTTTAATGAGATCTAAGACTTCCGTAAATGTACATTTAAATAAAACAAATATATCTGGATTACTACGAATTTTCTATCATATTGAACTTCATATTCTCGACGTTTCGGTTACTTTGTAGCAATTGTGATTACGATCATACTTATCTAGTCTGCCCGTGAACACGGTTGCTGTAAGGTAACCGAAACGTCGGGAGTATGTTGTTAAAAATAATAAAAAACGCGTATAAATCCGAAAACATTACTTTTATTTATACGAAAATCTTGAATTTATAAACCGATTAAAAGTGTAATCCTTACAATGTTATTGATATGTACCAAATAACATTAACTGAAAATCAAGATGATTTGAGTGTATCTTGCATTTAAAGATGTTTGCACCAAATTAAATTCATACATATTGGCTAACGGCCATCAAAACTCTGAATATACCAAAGCACCACTATTTAACGATCTCTTCAAATATTTGATAATCGTGAATTAAAATACAGTTTTTTTCATACAACAGTCTAAAGCTTGCTCCTAAATAAACAATACGTATTACTCGTATCTCAGACGAGTAAACATTTTCTCTTGTTATTTCTCTTGTTATAAATTTTATATTTATGTCTTGTTTAAATGGTATATTATAACTTGTTACAATAAAGTTATATATTACAAAGTTTGCGAGTGTAGGTGTACGGATGCTTTGTGTAAACACCGCTTAATAGATTTTAAGCTTAGGTACATTTTGGGTTTATAATATTAAATCAATATGTTTGGTTTACGTTCCTACTATAGGTATTTGTGGCTAATCCTATATTCGCTCGCTTCTTATCGTTATCGCGTAATTAATATAAACAAGAATCTATTGAAAAGAAATATTTTTCAATCTGCTTGTTATTGAAATAATCATGCTTGAGAATTTATAAACAAATGATTTGAGTATACTAGTATAGTACTAAAAACATGATTTTATGTATTTTGATTCTTCTATAATGAAATCTCCTACTTTAATAGACCTGAAATTTACTTTTGTGGAACGAAATACAGAAAAATTTATTGTTCAAATCAGATAATCTTTATATAATTCGTCGTAGGCTTAAAATATATATGTATATATAGAAAGGTTCTTGTAAATTCTTAAAATTAATATATAACGCATATATAAACGTGTAAGAACGCTTGAGGCGTAGCAGAGACGTCTTGCTTGTAGCGAAGTGTCATGAGTCGTCTTTGTAGGTTAAGAGCCGTTGAGATAAACTTTGCCGGTGCAAGATTTAACTACGAAGAAACTGAACAATTGACTTAAGAACGACTGTGTTACTTTATAAAGGAATGTTTAATTAGGTTAATGGATAGCATTGTTATATCAGTATAATATTTAAAACAATGACATGCTCTGAGTGTTAAGTAACTTAGATATTAAAACGAGAAAACTAAATCTTTCAGTCTACTTTCATTAATATTTCGATAATATAGATTGAAGCGAAATGGCTTCTCGTATATTTATTAGTGCATATATGCATATTCATACATAGATACACAGGTATATAAGTGTACATATATATAATTGGATAGACAGTTGTCAGTAAATCATAAAATTTTGTAAAAGTACAGTAATGTTTTTAAATACATATAACAATATATAAATCAATTAGTTTGCGCATATGCTTATATCGCATACATTGGTGTACGTATGTATGCATGCATGGATTTGCAATTTGTAAAAAGAAAACAGTTGTTTATTAGTATTAGTTGATTTAATTAATATGTTCTTTATTCTTTTATCATAGAATATAATTCCAGAAAGTATATCAATGAAAAGTTTCATTAATTCTATTAAGCCTTATGGATAAACAGATGAACAATATGATTAAGAAAGTCAAGATCTATTGGTAAGTTTTCTATCGGGATATCATCTTGATCGCGGGATTAAGCTGTTTTACGCCAGGGTTGGCACTATTAAAATAAATATATTATTAATTTTATATCCCAAAAAAAGATATTGTAAATATTTGTAATAATATTTGAAAATCCTTGTATTGGATTTAGTGGAACACTTACTATTCGAAATTATGAAATAAAAATAATATGTTAAAATAATGATTGCTATTTGTATTTTAAATGTGTATTTAAAAAACTAAGTTTTACCTCTTTATGGTATTTAACACCATAAGTTAGTAACATGCTAAGTTACATGCTACATAAGAAAAATACGGCCAGGTCACGCCAGGTCAAACATTTTAATTGCCTCTATAAATTTTGCTATGGAGCCGAAACATGCGATGAAATATTAAAAAGTGGTCAAAAGTTAAATCAAAAACGGATATCCGCTGAAAACTTTACGTACCAAATAAAAAGCAATGTTGGTACCAAAAAGGAGTTTCTACCAACCCACCTATTTATATATGTATATATAGGCATTATAATCATGAGTAACAGACTTTCTTAGTAGAAGAGTTAAAATGGACTGGTTTTTTAATATTTTCTTGTCCCCTATTGATATTGATTAAGCAGACTTGATCAAATTATATACATTATATGTATATACAAAAGTATGAGATATGGAGAATGTATTATTTTAAACAAAAATATTAAAGTTTAAATTCGCTAAACAAGACATCATTTATCAATATTATTAAATTCAATTGCTACAATTCCATCTCGCTTAAACTTCAAACAACTTGACCTAATTGGATACTTCTTTATGTTGGCTATGGCTATAGTAAAATTGTTCTTTGAAATACGAATTATATGCATAAAATACAGAAGCACTAGAAAATATATATATATATAAACATATATATTATTTCAAAATTCCGAATTAATTATTCCAATTACGCTATTAAAATTAGGAAAGCTACTAGCATGAATGCATTTTAATAATATTTTAAAGAAACCGAGATGGAAATTTGGAAAAGCAAATATTTTCCTTCGATAAAAAATTAAAATTAAAAGAGTTTAATATCATATACGTAATGTAATATACTTAGTAATTTTATTACAGTAGGAATGGTACAATATATAATATTTAGAATCAATTAATTATTATGGAAATATTAATTATTCATAAAAGTTTGAAGTGACAACCCTAGCGTATAATAAGAACTGCTGGGATTACGCGGAATAAATCAAAGCTACGTTTATTGAATCAAGTTAATTTATTGGACGCGATATTACCTAGTTATGACCATTGTATTACTCGCTTATTGAATATGTGAGAGGAATAAGAAAATTTATAATATTTCAAGTGCTATTGATACTGTTATAAATGTTTTTTCATGTCTTAATTGAATGATTTCATATAACTTTTATTATTTGACATGTTTTTAAGTTATGTATCTTATATATAATATTCTCGTGTCACGGTTTTAAACAGAGAAATCCTCCGAAACGACTGGACCGACTTTGATGAAATTTTCTGAGCATATTGAGTAGGTCTGAGAATCGGCTAACATATATTTTTCATACCCGTAAATCATAAGGGTTGGTCACCCTTAATTTTTATTTTTATTTCTAGAGGATATTTTTTGTTTTAAGTTTTTTTATAATGTAGCATTAAAAAATATGTACAACCCAAAATTTTTACCATTTTATCACCAACCCCTATTTTTATATGGCAAAACAACGTTTGCCGGGTCAGCTAGTATATATATATACTAGTTCAACTTAAAAATTCATTAGATAATATAGTTGTTCACGACACATGCCTAGTTTAGTGTGGACGTCAACGTTCATTATAAACATGTAAATGGATAAATTAAATTAATATATTATTATTATTATTAGATAAATCCTAAAGAGTATTATCTTAGTTTTCGCATAGTATTTATTGGTATATAATTTCTCACTCAAAACCTTTGGAGCATGTAGCACGTGATGTACTCACCGACGCATGGGTTGTGGTTCACGACAGCGAAAATCCTATCACATCTCTTCTTCATATGAGTGTTGGGGCAGATGCAGCCGAAGAGTGGAGACAGGCGAAGACCAGCCCAGGCCTCGCGACAAGATTCCCTGGAGTTTGAAGGAATATTATGATTTCAAAATTTCCACTAAGAAAAATAACACTCTGTATAAGTTCTGGGCCCAATCTCTTAGCCTCGAAGGTGTTAAAACGTGGTTGGATACTGTTTATGTTTATAAACGAAAGTTTTTTGGCAATTATTTTTGCTTAAACTTTAAGTTAGAATAGACTATGATAGTATTAGGTTAATATATACTGATAAAAAGTGCATACATTGCTCTTAGTTTGTATTAAGAGCATTAGAAAATTACACTTGGGATTTTACCATCCATTGAAAGTTACGACATAAAATATTGGCTTCCTTTAAAAGGCAGCATAATTTATTATATATTTGAAACTTTAAAGGAAATTCTTTTTTATTCACACAAAAATTGTGTAAAGATTAGTTCTATAACTTGATTCTTATTTATTAATTTTTTGTTTCATAAATTTAAGTATAGTTTATAAGTGAAGTAAGTCCTAAATAATTTCATTTCACAGAAGCTATTAACGTTAAAAATGAGTCAAAATCGTGCCTTAGGATAATAAAGAGTTCTTAAATAACAGTCTGAACAAATCCCACCTGACAAAACTCTAAAATAAACCCGACATTAAAAGCAATTCTGCTTTATCTAGATCGGATTGAACTCGAATTATGGCTTCAAATTAATTTACTGACGTCTATCAATATTCAAATTTCATCTCTAGGTAGCGAGAAGTTTGACGCCTAGAAAATAATCATTTTGAAGTTTTAAGTTCATCTTTATTACTTAAAATTAGATTTAGTTTAGATACTAAAAATATATATTTTAAAATTGTCTAATTTGACAGTGAAATATGGAAAATAAACCAAATTTTATGCTGAATTTTTGATAGCTTATACTTTCGGAGTGCATATTATGTGACTTACTTACCAAATTTCTTGGTTAGTATTTAATAATCTCTCATTCTTATTAATATACCTATTATATTTATGTAAAGTATAACTATTTATTGTAATATTCGTATAATAATAGAACATGATTCAGTATATGTAACGTTAAGAATTTATACCGGAATGGGGTATTAAGTGTTATTACCTCTCCTCCATACGACACTCCCCATCCCTGGCTTTACAAGCGTTCTTGAATCGCTCGAATAGCACGGAACAAGCTTTCTCGTTGTGACAAACACTCAGAGCATAGGTGCAAGTTGGCAGAGTCTCCACGGGATATGGATCTTTCTCTATAAAAAAATTAATACATCATTAACTTTAATTTGATACATTTTTATTGTAATATAATTCTCGTCTGCCCGTGATCACGGTTGCTGCAAAGTAACCGAAACTTCAGGAGTATGTAGTTAAAATAGTAATCCGAAAATATTAGTTTCATTTAAATGAATACTCGCGAAAGTCTAAGATCTCATTATTTAATACTTATAATAGATTAATATTTAGATTGAGTGGATATACATTTTGTACTAAATCATATATAGAACGTAGAATGTAGATAATAAATTATAATCAGTATTGTTGATACGTTTAATATCAACTGACAATCATTTGCTAGTGAACATAATAGTTATTGTTATAAATGCCGTGAGTTCAAAATTGCAATTATTAAATTCGAAATAATAACTGTGCAATTACAACTATTTTGAGGATAGGAGAATATGAAATGTAAATTTTTAATAAACGACAAATGTATTAAACTTCAAAAAATGTTGGTTTAAAATATGTTTTCATCACGCCAGTTTTCAGGAATGTTTTAATTCAATCATGCATTGTTATACAGAATTACTTTTAGGTTAAATAAAATACAGACACACATACATATATACACACACATATATATGTATATAAAATCAAACAGGCTATTGACTAGCGCAATGCTCTGTATATATACCTAAAGTCGATTGTGCTTTAGTCGATACGGCGTTCCCAAATATAAAATATTTGCCATTCTGAACTTTTATTTTTGGACTCAAGCCAGAACTATGCAACCATTCTATCGTCTACATTACCATCAATTTCTATTTAAACATGATAATATTAGCCATAAGAACATTTTAACGGCACATGATAAATTTTCATTTTTCATCAATCAGTTTCTTACATACAAGTATTGTATGAATATTCTTATTAATAATATTAAAGTTTGTAAGGTTTAAATTTTTAGTACAACGAAGTTAAAATGGCTAAACGGATTTTGATAACATTTAGCAGAGATATTATACAAATCATTAGAAAGGTTATTCTTAAACTAAGGAAAAATATTGTTCAATAGACCGGGTTATACTCATCAATATAAATTTATATGTTTGCTTCGATATGGTAAGCTAAAAAATTTGAGAATGGGAGATGTTTTATGTATGTATGGGAGAATATTTTCATACCTTTTTTCATCACGAACACGCATGGATGATCGAATAGAAAGTCACGGAAGGAGTTGCATTCAGGATCGACGTTTGGTTCACGACAGAGGCAGGTCGGTTTGAAGAATGGAAACGCTTGGAGAGTACGAAGAGCAGCTTGACACTTGGTGACGGTCACGGTGGAGCAGGCAACTATAATGAAAATAATATGTTAGATATTATATTCAAGTTATAGAACATTACCAATGGTATATACAAAAAAATCAATAAATGTATTATTAAAAGAAATCTATATTGTATATAAAAGAAAGTCGTGTTAGTTACCCCACTTATAACTCAAGAACGGCTGAACCGATTTAGCTAAAAATTGGCAGGGAAGTAGTTTAGAACCAGAAAATTGCAATAGGATACTTTTTATCCCGTTCGACAGTATTCCCGTGGGACTTGACATGAAACGTCAGTCACTATAAAACGTGGAATAACGAAACACAATTGACAGCTATGCAATTGACGTATAATGACAGATATGTAATGACGTAATGATGACAATAAGATATTTGTAAGAGATCTACTATATAAAAATAAGTCCGGTTTTCCATCCTGACGCTGTAACTTGGAAAGGTCTCGGGCTCCGTGAGGTTTATAACAAAAAATTTCAACAGAAAAGCGGGAAAATCTTTTTTCACATACAGCGCCATCATACATAAAATGTACTACAAATTAGAGAAGTTCAACTAAATAACACTTCATTTTTGTAATCAAAATGAATTCATTACTGTTGTGACATGAAATAAAAAATTTTCTTTTCAAATATAAAACAAAAAAAAAATCTTCATCTTTTAAACACCAAACGAAATGTTATATAGAAGCCTTCTGGTGGCGAAACGGAGTTCGCCGGGTTTACTTGTATATATATAAAAATGAATTGCTGTTCCTTGGTCTCACTAAAACTCGAGAACGACTGAACGGATTTATCTTATCATAGTCTTGAAATGTTTGTGGAGGTTCAGGGAAGGTTTAAATGCTGAAAAATTTTTATTAATTTCCGGGAAAATCCTAAAAACAGCGCTTTTTTATTTCCCATACAAACGGTTTTTTGATATTAGATTTGACAACTAACTAATATGTCAATCATTTTGTCGCACTTCAGAACACGGAGATTTATGGCTTAAAGGAAAAAACCCAAAAAAATAAATAAGACATAATTTATTTCTTGATTGAGGCAGTACGAAGTCTGCCGGGTCAGCTAGTTAACATTAAAATTTTAATTTATATACAGACATATATGTATATATAGTATTTTCTTCCAACAAACCATAATATTAAATTACTAAAACTTTAAAAATAATAAATACGGTTGAGTATTTATTTTAATTTTATTCTTGTCACTTATCAGTAACTCTAAGTTTTATTTTAAATAAAGAGATAGAAATGCAAATTGTAAAGGTTTTGTCTTTTTATGTGTCTTTATATAATAAACTTATTCAATTTTAAAGAATTGCGATTTCAAACTTATAATTTGAAATTGTAAGTCCAGGTATCCTAACAATATTTTCCTTCACCGTCTGTCAGTGGAGTCTAAATACTCTAAGTAATTACATATAACTCGGAAAAGTCGTATTGGTACTTGCCAGGTTCGAAAGCGCGCCCTTATGCATAAGGGGCGGGCCCTTAACCTCTAGGCCACTACATTACTTTAGCTATTATATATATTAAATCATATATACAAAATGAACAGCTGTTTCAATCAAATGTTAAAAATTTTCAATAATAATATTTGTTTTTTAAGTTGTCTGCGAGTTAAAGTAAAGGCTTTCACAGTAATGAAGACTAAACATGAATGTAGAAATTATTAACATTTTTTATTTAGTTAAATAGATAATGTTTTTTTAATTATTATTTTACTAATGAATAATTGTATGTTATTGCAGGATTACATACTTGTAAATATGTATTAATAGATGAGTAAGTAAAAATTTAATCCTTTGTAATGTCACTTCAAAATTGTTTATCTTGTACGAAATAACTAAAAAATTAACTAAAGTTTAAGTTAAATTATTTAATTTCAATAATAGCAAAACGCTGATTACTTTAACTAAGAAATTAAAATATAACAATTTACTTAAGTGGTATCCAAAACATTTTGTAAAATCAGGATTATTTGGTTTCCTTAATGATAACCATATTTTTATCTAAAATTTACCGTCTAAAATAAAAACATAACTTTTTAAGTCATCAATCAAATATACATAATTGTATTACATTGAGATTAAAGTCGTCTTAATTTTATTGGTAATTAATATACATATTTAATATTTTTATTAAACAAATCATTTATATGAAATGGTAAAAAAACATTCAACTAGATTGAATTGCATCAGTTAATTAATTTGTCACTACTAATATCCTCCATAAGATTTTTTCTTATTACATGTAATTATTGGGTGAATTAGAACCGTTTTTGCCGTCTGGGTGTAGCCAGATAACTTTTTCCTACAAAGGAACCTCCTAAATTAAGTACTGAAACGATATACTTCTTCTATATATGTAATTGACTTTAGTATCGACCAAGAATAATATTACGATCTTTCATTTTAATTCTATAACAAAAAAGATTTATATAAATCCATAGTTTGATACGTCTCAATGAAAAACTTAATTATTTTATTGCAAATTATATTTTAAAATCATTCGTTTCAATAATATATTTTTTTACGATTTTAATAAAAAAAGTTATCGAATAAACCATTCAAAAGATGACTTTATAATAACAAAGCAATTAATTTAATTGATATCTAAACATTTCTTAGTAAAACATTCAAAAGACTTTGCATTTAACGTAATTGCTTTTAAACTTGTGAACATCTGATAGATTTCTTAATTTCATGTTATCCTGGTACCATAAATGTCTGATTCATTTAAATATATATGAAAAACATATGTAATAAGAATTTAATTTATTTTCTAAATATATAAATCAAATTAATTTCTACCTTAATTTAATACAACAGAAGGTTTAATATTAACTGTATAATTAAATTGCTCTTACAGCTTTTACATTATTAATATTAAAGTGATAAAGACATCACGAAAACGTTTCATAACATGTCAAAAAATAAGCCTTATATATCCCAAGACATTTCATTTGGTCGTAATATAAACATAAATTATGAAGTGTAAAATAATTATCGCTATAAGAGTATGATAACGTATTATGTAAGTATTATCTAGAATTCAAGACCATAGTTTGCTTGCTATAATTTTAAATATTGAGCGGGTGTTTTTTTTTATAAATCGCTTGCTACTTAATAATAACTTTAAAAAATCAAACACTTATATTGCCATAATCACCTGCCTATCAGAGCGCGCTTCGGAGCAAAGGCCTCTTCTCACGTGATCACGGTTGATGAAAACTAACCGAAAAATCGAGAGTATGTAGTTTATTAGAATAATAAAATATGCGTAGTAATCCGAATAATATGAGTTTCAATTAAATTAATACGTTCGAAAGTCTTATATCTTTATATGCATATATTGTTGGAAATATACATTTGTATACTGCAACATATATGTTAGTTTTAATCTTAAACCATGTCTCCTGAAATAGCCTTAATAACAATCGTATTGACCTTTAGTAAAGAAATATGAAAGTAGCGAATGCGTCCTTAACATGCATACTTTTAACGTTTCTATGAAATATAAATTAGACGTTTACAAGGTTTTAATTTAAAACCGTTTTAGTTTTAATTCACGCAAGCTCACTGCAATATGAAATTGTAATTCCGTGAAAAATATATGACAAACGCTGGCAATAAAACACCCAACGAAATTGTTATGAACAGTTATTTGTGAACGAAATAATGTTCATATTATTTTTCTATTAGAAGTATCATCGACCCCTCCACTGCAAGCGTGGTGATTAATGCTCAAACCTTCTCCAAGTGAGAAAGAGGCCTTTGCTGAGCAGTGGAAATTTATTCAATAACTAATACATTGCATTATTTCCATTTATTTGATACTTCTTATAATTTGTTATTATAAGTCCAGGTTTCCTCACGATGTTTTCCTTCACCGTATATTAGTGGTGTCTAAATACTCTCAGAAAGTACATATGACTCCGAAAAATCACATTGGTACTTGCCAGGTTTGAACCCGCGCCCTCGGCAACGAGAGGCGGGCTTCTAGACTACACTAGGCCACCACTGACTTGTGTGTCAAATTGACTTGCTTGTTACAAATATTTTATTGAGTACATAAGTAATGACAGATAATACTGTTATTTATACTATCAAAAAAAAACCAAATTCAGGCACAATGTGATAGTGATAAATTACTTTTTATTAAAATAAAAAAATACTGTGTTCATTACAAATTATTTTAATATTATTCCACGATAAATAAAAGAAAAATATAACCTTTCTATAACATTAATAATAATGGAAAAGATACTTCTAAAAATAACATTTTTTCTGTCATCATTGCGTGGGCTACGTCTTGATAAAGAAAACAGATATATTTTATAAATATACCTCCATATTTTTTAGATGATAAGTAATAAATATTTCATACTATGTAAGAAGATAAGTATCCTAGAAAGACACAAAGTAATTGTATGTAATACAAATATAATAAACAAAGAACCCACTTACAAATGAATAAAATGTTCATATTCATGTTATTAACTTATGTTTCTAACCAAAAATGCTTGTGTATCGTAATATGGGGATTGAAATGGCAGTCAAATAGAATCATATACATATAAAGGTCAAGGCTAGATAGCTTAGTTGGAAAATCAAAGCAACGCTTTATATTGGAGATAGCAGGTTCGAATCCGCTAATTTTCACTAATTATATATTGATTATTTGAATTTAAACGCTTTGCCATTAATTTATTGTTAAAAATGAGTTATATTTTTTTAAGTTAAGACTAATTGAAATGGGAAACTGTTAAATAGATACAAATTTGATTTCAACTAACCTCTTTTGATCCAATAGTATTCTGGTATGGATTTAGTTAACACAAATCGTATATGATAATCAAGTTCCATAAAATATATATATTTATCATTTGCTAGAGTTCTTCAAAACTTAACTTATACATATATATTATATTCTAGTTGTGTTTTGAAACCAAGAAGTTGACACATCATGAAATATTCTAAAAAAGTATTTGATATTTTTTTTATATCTAC